ATCACCTAAAATCTCATAAATCTAAAATCTTTTAGAATCACGTGAAGTTTTTTCAAAATCCTTAAAATCAATGCCTAAAGATTCAATTATGTACACATTTTCTGGAGTTAACTAAACTTTGAGCGGTTAATTGTATACAAGTTGGTCAAAATCCCAGAAAAACTCGTAAGATCTACTTAAAATCCCTGAAAATCTTTAATAATAAACAAAATTTTATTAGAACAAAAAAAATCCGGCAAAATCCTATAAAATTCCTTCATATGATTTTCATGGTTTTTATTGAATTTGAGATAAATTTATCCCTCAATAATTATTGAGGGCATGAGCACCCCAAAACAAATGTCTGCTGCGCAGTGGTTACCTTACCATAATTCGTGATTTTTTAGCCTCCTCACTTGAAATAGTCACGAGCCGCCACTGATCCTAACGGTCAATCAACATATCCCAAACTCCATACACAAAATTATTCTCAGATTTGAAGTAGGAATCTATGAAAAAAGGCACTCAGAAAAATTGAAAAATTGATAAATCACCCCAAATTGCTTAACACGATTTCATCTCAGGAACTATATACAGGGTGTCGCACGGTGGATGGCGTGATCATGGTCGTTTATCCCGGTTGCCAAATTTTCAAAATGATCCGCTTTTTAGTTCTCCATAAACGTCTAATACGCCATCCACCGTGGGACACCCTGTATAAGTGCAAATGAGCTGAAATTTTCAGGGATTGTAGTCCTTTGAAACGGATAAAATTCAGTGTAAGATTCAGTTTTCTATCTATAATAGAAAAAAGTTATGACCTTTCAAAGTTTTCCAAAATTTAAATCATAATACCCTCTTACTAAAACGATGAAAGGACATCGCACACATCTTATGGGTTTTCGGGGACCGGTCGATTTGTTAAAAAATTTGGTATGTTGTAGTACTAGTGAAAATAAGCATTTTTCATCATTGTACCAAATCTCTAACTATACAGGGTGACCCAGTAAAGTGGGTCCGAAAATCATTGCCAAGTCTTTTAATTATCGATGTTGGCACGCACTGCAAGCTACATATTGGGATTTTTTTTTGCTATTTCGCAAATTAATAGTCTAGATAAGCCTAATATATTATACAGGGTGGCTAAGCTTACGTATTCTTTTAGAAATACTGCCTTATTCTTAGTAATAGTGTTACCAAAAAGGTCGCGCTGGAATTAATTTGCCTGTAACTTTTCCAATTTTTGTCTGATTTTAGAAAATCTGCTGGGGGCGTCTCAAAATAAAGCCTACATCACAGAGGGATGTCATGAAATCTGAAAAAATGACAAATCTTTTAGAATTCGTGTGAAATATCGCCTTTTTTGGTCAGAAATCGTCAATAATTTACAACTGAGAAAGCAAATAATACTCGTAAGATTACAAAGACTCGTTGGATATGGACATTTGTAATCTGTGTTTAACACAGAATGTTGTGACTGGTGCAAAATATTGAAAATGCCCTACATGAAAGGATTCAAACAGAAAACCTCCAAATAAGGGGTGGTGGGGTGGGCCTTAAGGCGATTTACATAACTTTCCGAATATATCAAAATATATATTTCCGAGGTTCACACAAGACAAGTAAAGAGAGATTTTCTGTTTGTATCATTTTTGCTCTCCCCTAAGCTGGATGGAGGGGATCCAGTATTGGGCACATACTGCACATGCAAAGTTATAGCGTTGTTAGGTACTTTAGCTACGCTGGACATGAGAACAATGTGAAGTATCCATCAAATATGTTACTTATAGTCCAAGAGCCCAGAACCGCCAGACAACTTTATTATCTAAAAGACAGAATATGTGGGATTGAGTAGCACTTATAGGTAATATGAACGTATGTATACCCGCTAAGTTGAGTAGACGGCCAATTGGAAATAATAGTAACAGCTGAAACTGTTATTTCTAAATAGGTACCTAACGGTTTTTCCCATTTCTACTCTAACCTGGAGTAGACTGTAAGTTTAAGAGGGGGAAATCAGTTGACATAGATATCTCGCTCACTCTCAAACGCATGCATAGTACCTTCGCGCTCACACTTCCGGAAAAATTATTATTGCGTCTGGGGAGATGTTTGGCCGATGCGATTGGTCTGGCTGAGCACACGGAGTTATGAAATAGTCTCACCAATAACATATATAAAAATAAAGCGTTAGAAAAAAAGTCAAAGTATTTTTTAAGTTTTCGCACCTGGTGTCGCCAAATTGGCCGTCTACCCAACTTAGCGGATATACATAAAGTTCGCCTTACGAGTCTAGCACTACGACGTCTGAAGGGCAAGGGGGAATAACGCCATTCATTTCGAACTTTATGCTGCCTGTCATAGGTGTGCGCGCAGCGTTTTTAAATATTACCTTTTCCTGATAAATGAAGGTATGTAACATGGATAAATATTAAAGTATTTTCTATTGGAAGTCAAATAGGCAATATTGCAATTTTTTTTTTTATCCGTTTTCTATAGTGCTAGATTCGTAAGGCGAACTATACATTCATAGTACATACAAGTGCTACACAATCCCACATATTCTGTCCTTTAGAAAATGAGTTGTGTCTGGCGGCTCTGGGCTCTTGGAGTAATAGGGCCGGTTTATCAATATAGCGAGTCACCTCCGGGTTGATTATAACTCCAGAGTAAACGTTTCTCCAGAGCGAGTTAGCTATAACTCTTGATGTAACCTTGGGTTAAATTGACTCACTGTTGATGATATTCTGGGCTTAGCGATTTAACCCTTGAGATAACCTGAAAAAACTTTTTTTTTCGTGATCTGGTGATTTGTCAATTTTGTGGTAATATTTATTTTTCGAAAATGGAAATATATGGACTGATTGATGAAAATGAAGGTTTCTACAATTTCGTAGCAAAAACGCCTCATATAATCCGCCAAAGGATTAATCCTCTCGAGAAATACGATGACAAGAATCTCTCTACAAAATCCAGCGCGACCTTTTTGGTAACACTATTTCTAACAATAGGGCAGGATTTCTAAAAGAATACGCAAGCTTAGCCACCCTGTATAGTATATTAGGCTTATCTGACTATTTATTTGCGAAATCGAAAACAAAAATCTCGATACTTAGCTTGCAGGGCGCGCTAATACCGATAATGGAAAGGCTTGTTTTCTGATTTTCGGACCCACTTTACTGGGTCACCCTGTATAGTTAGAGATTTGGCGCAATGATGAAAAATGCTTATTTTTGCTAGTACTACAACATACCAATTTTTTTAAAAAATCGACCGGTCCCCGAAAACCCATAAGATGTGTGCGATGTCCTTTCAAATTTTGTTTTGTCCAGATTTTGTATCCTAATGGTCAATCAACATACCCCAAACTCCATACACAAAATTATTCTCAGATTTGAAGCCGGAATCTATGAAAAAAAGGCACTCAGAAAAATTGAAATATTGATGAATCACCCCAAATTGCTTAACACGATTTTATGTCAGGAACTATAAGTGCAAATGAGCTGAAATTTTCAGGGATTGTAGTCCTTTGAAATGGATAAAATTTAGTGAAAGATTCAGCTTTCTATCTATAATGGAAAAAAAGTTATAACCTGTCAAAGTTTTCCAAAATCTAAATCATAAGATTTTGTTTTGTCTAGATTTTGTATCCTAATGGTCAATCAACATACCCCAAACTCCATACACAAAATTATTCTCAGATTTGAAGCCGGAATCTATGAAAAAAGGCACTCAGAAAAATTGAAATATTGATGAATCACCCCAAATTGCTTTACACAATTTTATCTCAGGAACTATAAGTGCAAATAAGCTGAAATTTTCAGGGATTGTAGTCCTTTCAAAGGGATAAAATTCAGTGAAAGATTCAGCTTTCTATCTATAATAGAAAAAATTTATGACCTTTCAAAATTTTCAAGAAAATCATAAGGGGCGTACCTTCTTACTAAAATGATGAAATTTCAAATTTTTTTGTGTGGAGATTTGGTGTCCTAATGGTCATTTGTAATCCCCCAAACTCCACGACCTTTCAAAGTTTTGTAAAATCTAAACCAAAACGATGAAATTTCAAATTTTATTTTGTATCCTTCGAGATCCCCCCTATCTACGCTGGTGGCTGAAAATTCTGATTTGGATTTGAACTGTTTTGAATGCTTATTAAGTGTTTTGAACTTTACAAAAGGCTCATTAAAGCTCTAAAGTGTTCTGTAGCATTCGAAAATGGTTTCCAGTAAGTTCTAAATTGAATGCTAAGCTAATGGCCGTTTCCACCAACTATTTTAGGGAAGCCTTAACCATAAGTATTCCCTAAAATGACAGTTTTCCCTGGAGAAATGTCAGTTTAGGGAATACTTATCGTTAAGACTCCCCTAAATTGGTGGAAACCAAGGTACCAAGTGTTCTGAGGCGTTCTGAAATGATTATGAGGTTTCTAAATTATTTCTTGATTGTTCTAGCAGCAGTTTTAAGTGTTCTGGAACCTAAATGAGGCTCCAAACTATTCTAAATTGGTCTAAAAGTGTTGTAAAACGTTTCCAGTACGCTCTAAATTGAAATCTAAATGTTCTAAAATAGGGCTGAAATGATTCTAAATAAAAATTCAGTTTTCTTCTACCATTTATAAAAGTATAGATAGCAAAATCGTAAACAAAGTAGAAGCAATTTATTGTTATTTATTCAAATAATTTTGCCGCCTATTTGAATATAATCTATAGTGTTGCCATCTATGAAGCAACATTTAAGTCGTTTTTATTTATTTATGAGGGGCTTTTGCTTTCAATTGGCAATTTGATTAACTGATTAATTACTTTTTCCTTTGTCTTTATGCATAATTACATGAATAATTAGTAATTTAATTAAAAATAAAACTAACCATAGTAGTTTACCATATTGAAACTAGATGGCAGCACTCAAAAAAATGGCGGCTATTGTTGTATAAATAGTCGAGGTTTATTTAAGTCATTGTATCCAAAATTCTATGCATTTATAAATTTAATTAGTTTAATTTTGTTGTAATTTTAAATATTTTCACTACATAATTAATTAATTTAAGGATTTTTCATCCATTTATAAGTTTGGCAACGCCACAACTAAATGTCACTTGTCACCCGATTCCACCCCCTCAGATCGATTTTTGACAGTTTGACGCAAGCGCGCCAGTGTCGTTTTTCCGTTTTTTGGGTTCGCTGGTCCTGAATAGCGAGGTGAGGTTTTTCCATTAAAAATTGGCTCAATTTCTGAATTTTTATGCACCAAAATCATATAAAACACCCTTTTAAATCTTATTTAATAGGTTTTTGATTGAAAAATTGGTTATTTATTGTTCCAGATTGAATTATTGTTGCCCATATATTCTTTCGAGAAAATTCCACCGAAGACAGACATTTATTACATAGTTCCTTTCCGGGCACACAATGCAGTACAACAACGTGTACCACAATAGCCAGATGTAAGTGAAAAGGGGCCTGATTTTATTGATTTTCAGAAAAGTTTTTGAGTTTTATTTTTACATATTGTATAAACGAGACAAAAATTGCAAATTTTGCATAGTCAATCTTTGGCCCGCTGTTGCGCAAAATCCCTTGGCATTGGCATGGCTGACACCGAATTATGCAAAGTCTTTGGATTGTTGGCACAAAGAATTGCCAATTTATTTAATTAGAATTAGGTTTTCTATTAAGGTAGATTGTTAGGGTAAAGAATAATGGCCTTATTATTAATGAATGGTCCTTATGAATTGAGAACTTTCTAGTATTTTTAAGGCCTGGTTTATTCGTTGTCAGATAAACTTGTTGTTAACTTTCGGCAAGATAAATTTACCATTCTATGATTCTATTGGTCAATGAATAATTGGCTGACTAATGGGATTACAGATTGCGTTTTTAATTGTCAGATTGCATTTCTGACAGCAGGGGTGGCTATTATTCTTCATCTTTTACTAAATACACAAAACTTAAATTTCTCTATGTTGATGCAAAGATTGTTATCACAGAGCCACCCCAGCATTGTGTCATCTGCAAACAAAACAATTTCACTTTTACTGAACACACTTTGTATATTATTTATATATTAGTAAAAACAGCAATGGACCCAGAACAGTTCCCTGAGGTACACTATAATTTACATCAGATATTCTTCTCTCAAATTGAACACTTTCAACTCCCACATTTTCCAACTTTTTTAACAATTTATCTCTATTAACAGTTTCAAATATGCTCTCTTGAAATCTAGAAAAACAGCTAACACAATTTTATCACAGTCAATTGGCTTGAGGCAAGCATCACAAGACCTGACTGATTTGAGACCAATATCTGGTTTCTATCACAGTGTGGTTGGAGCTGCTACCATTTCCAGAAGTTTTTCATATACATTTACAGTGTTTATAGGTCTAAACTCTTGCATTATTTACCTTGGGGATTGGGACGACAATTGACTTTTTCAATGACTCAGAAAATATACCACTTGATAGAGAGGCATAAACCAGGGGTGCTAATTCTGATGAAAAATTTATTGAATTCAGTGGCAATTTACATTTCATCCACCAAAATTAGACAGTCAAATAGAATCTCTATAGGAGAATGGTGGTTTTTTTCAGGAAGTAATGTTTTAAGGTTTTTCCACAATTTTCTTGGATTATGTTGTATTTCCCTCCATGACCTCCTTTTCAATCCTAATCTGGTTTACAATTTTATTCATTTTCATCTTATATACTCATTCCAAACAATATCATCCTTTACAATAACAGCTCTCCTATATAATGCATCCCTTTCCTTCATCATTTACCTTACTTCATGTGTAATCCAATGCTTGTCAATGTACTTCTAGTCTAGGAAAATTGTCGATTTTCAAAAAAAAAAATCCTACCCAAAAGAACTTTCCAGAGATGATAGGGGGAGGGTGGGTGATCATAAAACCGGAAATATCAAACATTCACCCCTCTGGCGTTTTGCGCTATAGGGGTTGAAAGTACGCCATTGGCGATTACTTGGTACCTATTGATTTTACAAAAAAATGTTTCAAATAAAAGATGTGCAACATTATTTGATCTACAATGTTCATCCAAAAACTTTTTTGATTAAGGGCCGTCTGTGGTCATAAAGGCCGTTTGAAATTTTGTAATGAAAATGAAAAATTTTAACCAACGTGAAAAAATTTTCTACAACACATACAACATTTTTGCTTTATGAAGTTTTTACTCACCCCCTGCCGTTTTTCAATAGGGGTAGTTTAAAGTTTTTTTATTTTTTTACAAAAAAATTTTCTTAATAAAAGTTTTATAAGATGACATTTCCTACAATTTTTCCAAATCAACTTTTTTTGTAACTCACCCCCATTCAGCGGGGGGACACGTCCCTCGGGGATATTTTAGTTTTTAAGGGTATATATTAATTTTTTTTTTCTTTTCTCGCCTTTAGTGTATATGAAAAGTTGCAATTAACATTGTATTGAAAGGATTTTTTTGCCACCACCTTTTTGTTTTTAGGGGTAGTTCGTCTATTTTCAACTTTACAAAAAAAATGTATAAAGAAAACTTGTTCATTTTATTATTTTGAACAACTTTTCTCTATAACTTTTTTTTGTAAAGTTGAAAATAGGCGAACTACCCCTAAAAACAAAAAAATTATGGAAAAAAAATCCTTTTAATACAATGTTAATTGCACCTTTTTATATGCACTAAAGGCGAGAAAAGAAAAAAAAAATTAATATATACCCCTAAAAACTAGAATTTCCCTAAGGGAAGTGTCCCCCCGCTGAATGGGGGTGAGTTACAAAAAAAGTTGATTGGGAAAAATTGTAGGAAATGTAATCTTATAAAACTTTTATAAGGAAAATTTTTTTGTAAAAAAATAAATAAACTTTAAACTACCCCTATTGAAAAACGGCAGGGGGTGAGTAAAAACTTCATAAAGCAAAAATGTTGTATGTATTGTAGAAAATTTTTTCACGTTAGTTAAAATTTTTCATATTCATTATAAAATTTCAAACGGCCCTTATGACCACAGACAGCCCTCAATCAAAATACATTGTAGATCAAATAATGTTGCACATCTTTTATTTGAAACATTTTTTTGTAAAATCAATAGGTACCAAGTAATCGCCAATGGCGCACTTTCAACCCCTATCGTGCAAAACGCCAGAGGGGTGAATGTTTGATATTTTCGGTTTTATGATCACCCACCCGCCCTCTATCATACCTGAAAAGTTCATTTGGGTAGGATTTTTTTTTTGCAATGCAAGTATTTTTCCTAGACTATTCTGCTTGTTCTTGGACACATGACTTCCAATATGTTTCTTATACTTTGTATAAATAAACACAGGGTGTTTCAGAAAAGGTGTTACAAACTTCAAGGGCAGATAGTATTCATGAAAATAATTTAATATGTTCCTGGATATAGGTCCGGAAACGCTTTGTTTCCAAGATACAGGGTGATACATTTTTCAAGAAAAAATAGTTTCTTATTAATAGCCGATTTCAATGAAATTTTCACGGTTTATTTCAACTAATTAAATTTGATCCAGAATTCCCAGGGGCGTATCCAGCAACCAAGTCGGTTGTTTTTGTGCAGAAAAAAAATATCACTCTGTAGTTTTTGTACAATTTTTATTGATTATTCAGATAGATACACTAAAAATACAACATTTTTGTCTCCTAAATTTTTCAATTATCTCGCTTCATTTTCGTGGAAAAATTACAATACCATACTAGTCTCAGAGCCAGCGCCGAAAAAATTCTCTGAATTTACTAAAGCTAGTTTTTGGACAGTTGATTACAGTATTTACGTACATAAACATACCGCGGTCAGTCAAGCGAAACTTGGGACAAGGACTCAGGGTGTCTTGTTAAAGGTGTCGAGATAACTTGGGTAATGCAACAAATTTACTAAAGCTGAAAATCGTTGTACATATTATATATAACATATAAATAACACTAGTGTTAGTCAGTCAGTTGAATAGCGGAACCATGCTGGTCAGTCAGCCCCAATAAATGTAAAAATCTGCAAAAAATATTAATATTACTGAACAAACCCATTAATTTATACTTCAACCTACAATTTTGAATTGTCACTGTCACACTGTCACTCTAAAAAAAAATAGACCTATCATTTTTTTTACATAAATTGGGGCTGAACCACCTTAAAGGGACTGAATGACCGGCCCAGTTCCGCTATTCAACTGACTGACAAACATCACTGTTATTTATGTGTTATATATAATATGTATAGCGATTTTCAGCCTTAGTAAATTTGTTGCATTACCTAAGCTATTTCGACAACTTTAACCAGACACCCTAGGTTCTTGTCCCAAGTTTCGCTTGACTGACCGAGGTATGTTTATGTACGTAAGTACTGTAATCAACTGACCAAAAACTGGCTTTAGTAAATTCAGAGAATTTTTTCGGCGCTGGCTCTCCTGCTATACCTAGACATGTCTCTGAAATCCATAAGAAAAAATCTGTTGAAATAAACCGCGAAAATTTCATTGAAATCGGCTCTTTTGGGCTATAAATAAAAAACAATTTGTTTTTTGAAAAACGTATCACCCTGTATCTTGAAAACAAAGCGTTTCCGGACCTATATCCATAGGAATTTTTTTGATTATTTTCATGAATACTATGTTTCATTTCTGAAACACCCTGTATGTTATACATCAATTACATACATTGATTTAATTGAAAGGGTACAAGTTTTTCAAATATTTTGGTTATAGAATGGGAATCCCAGCTGGGGACATTGATAAAAAAGTAATCTTGGATAGGTTAAAATTAACAACACTTTACAATAGACAAATTCAATTTGATTTCTTATTGAATAACATTATTGAGTGTCCTGAACTTAGAAGCAGAATCAGTTTCAATATTCCACAGCGTACATTGATATCCTATGAATTTTTTCATAAAAAATTTCATTCTACTAATATTATGGCTGTGATAATTCATACGGTATGGTCTTTAGGTTTTTAAATAAACACTGTAATGTAGATCTTTTAAAGGACATGGCACTAAATATTAAGATAATATAAAGAATTCCTGGTGATCGGTCAATTATTCTGAAGTTGCAGTATGTTATTCTATACCTAAAAATAAGTATTTCTGTTTATGGTCATTTCTTTGTACGAGTATGGGATGTCCCAGAAAATTGAGTTCATAGTTTTTACATGAAATATTTTGTTTGAAGTGGAGCATAAACTATGTTTGTCTAATTTGTTATATGATTTTGCAACTTATATCTTGAAAATATTAAGATATTTATTTAGTTAAGAACAAAAACTATTATACAAGGTGTCTCAAAAATTATATTTTAAACCAAGTTACACTCTAGAGAAAGCCAATAACCAACGCAACTGCTACAAACTATAATAACTTGAAATATCAAAATATATTTCTAAGTTTACCCATAGTAAATTAGGATACAGAATATTTCAAAAATATTTGATATAAAAGCTTTGGACTCAATTTTTTTAACTGTTATTTTGGTTATTGGCTTTCTTTAGAATGTCACTTGCTTTAAAATATAATTTTTGAGACACCTTATATATTAATTTTTGTTCTTAACTACATAAAGATCTTTATCCCATTTTGACGTTTAAAAATGACATTATTGAACGCATAATGACAAAGATAAGTAGACGTTTATTACCTGAGTGACTTAAAATATTTGTAACTCACTCTTGGTCTTTTAAGTCACTCTGCCAGTATAAAAATCTGCTACAAATACAAACAAACAATGAGTTAAAATGTTTATTCATTCGAAGAAAATTAACTCACTCGCTAGGGCTCGTGGGTTAAACTTCTCATGAATAAACATTCATTTAACTCACTTGGTGTATAAATAACTAATATCTACGCCAGTGAGTTAAGAAGCTCTATACAATTATTATTGAAATTAAATTTTTTTGTGTTTTTAAAGTTAAGAGCGTATTGGGTAGATAAAATATTGTACAATACACGTGAGTTAACCCTCATTGTGTGTGTGTTAATAATGCTGTTAACTCACTTGTATCGTAAATATCTATTATGTCTTTAATGTATAAGTTGGAAAATCACATTACAGATCAGACAAACATAGTTTATGCTTCAAACAAAATATTTCATATAAAAACTTTGAACTCAATTTTCTAGGACATCCCATACTGGTACAAAGAAAAGATCATAAGCAGAAATGCTTGTTTTCAGGTATAGAATAACATACTGCATTTCAAATAAAATCGACCGATCACCAGAATTCTAATATTTAGTGCCATGTCCTTTAAATTTAAGTCAATTTGAAACTATCATATCATATATAGTAAACTGTAAATTTGTTTGTGATAAGAGTTTTCTATAATAATATACCTTTTAGAATTTAAGGAAATAATAATGATTATATTATTTATTGTTATTATTATGCTGTAATTGGGTGGGTGATTCCATACATTTAATAAATAAAATTAGTTTTTCACGCCGTAATATAGAGGGAATCCTGGAAAATTTCTACATTATAATTCCTCAGTTTTCTCCTCCAAATGACAACATCAGGGCCTACTTCAGAGCCAACTTCAAGATTCTCAGTCAATATAAAATGATGGCTAATTTTCGGTGTTTAGTGCACTTAATGTGTGATGCGTTTATCATTTGTATTTGTATTTATTTCAACAATTCTTGAACAGTTACACATAATATACGATATAAATTCAGTAATTATGTTATGCATAAAATATCATTTTTAATGTCATTTGGTAACAAATTGTAGAGTTTAGGTCCTAAATATTTAACAGATTTCTTAGAAAACTCATTATGAAATCTTAAAATAGCTAATTGCTTGTTAACATTTTTATTCATTCTTGTTTGATATTTATGATTCACTGTGTGTTTGATTTCCTTGTGTTTATGTACAAAGCAGCATACTATATAACAATACAATGTTCTTAAATTTATGATTTTATTATTGTATAATACACGAGTGTCACAATGTAATGGATTAAAGTTGCACTGGTTCCTGTAATATTCAAAGCAAACTTGTTTTACCATCAACAGGTATTTTTTCATCCACTCAGAAGTACCAGTTTCACTTTTATTTAAATGAATCTCCATACAATAATTATTGTTGCCAGTTGGATGATATAAGCATGAGCCAATACCAATCCTTTCCATCAAAATCGTTTTTATATGGTGCAGAAGGTTTTGTACTGTACATCTGCTGTTGTATGAATGCTGTAGTGGTCCAAATAATATCATTATGTCAGTTTTGAAGAGCAACTACTGATAAATTTCAAATTGGTCTAGACATCAACTTTAACGTTTCATCATTGGCCAAACCATCAATGTCATTCAGATGATAAAGTTCTTGGAAAATGCTCATAGTTTCAGATATATCAGTTACCACACTCATACCTGTACTGTTCTCTCAAAGACCAACACTCAGATTTATTCTATATAGGGATGTAAGCCAATTTTTCTAACAGTGTCACGTCACAGTCAAAATGAAAATGACGGTCACGTCATTTATTTGTATAACACTCTTGTCATTTATTTTCTTATGCATTAAATTTTCTGACAGTCAAAATGATAACTAAACTGACCGTCATTGAAATATATAACAGTGTCGCAAAAATATCAGCCGACTCTTGATATTCATTTTTAATCTTGTGGAGGAGATGACTCATTAGATGACTTTGATGCTGATGACAGATATCTGATTATTGATTTAAGTTATGTTATGTTCTAAATTGACGGTAAATGATCATAAATGACAAAAATGACAAATAAATGACTGTCATTTCACATCGCCTAATTCTTTACAACTTACACAAACAACTTATACAACTGACAAAATAATAAAAATGTAAGACACTTCATGCTTGCACTACAGTCAAATGCATACTCCTGCAACTGAATGCATGAACAAATTAAAATAAATTATGCAATATATCATTGGAAAGAGCATCAAATTTTCTAGAAAACTTTGCAAAATTGAGTTTGACGGCTCAAATAGTTTTTGAGTAATTAAGCCTCAAAGTTGATTTCTAGCTAAATTTTGTCAAAAACTTTACACTCAATTTTCTCAAGAACTATAAACCTGGAAATATTGTAATTTACAGGCCATTTAGAGTTACAAATGTTGAAAATTTCAATGCAATTTGCCCAATGGTTACCAAACAATTGAGGTTTGAATATTTTGAAATTAGAATTTAAAGGGAATAACTCGATTTTTTTATTTTTCAATTTTGACTTCACCAATTGATAGAGTAGGTGAAAATTAGTGGAAAACAAGCATGACATTATTTCCAAATGTTCATTTAAGATCCTATTTTTGACTCTGGAAAATTTTCAAAATCTTGACATGGTCATGAACTATTCAGAACTATTGCCCATATCTTTGTTAAATTTTTCGCAAATGGAAATAAATTATATATCATTGGAAAGAGCATTAAATTTTCTATAAATCTGTATACAATTGAATATAGGAGCTCAAATAGTTTTTGAGTAAGTCTCAAAGTTGAGTTGACTCAATTTGTTCAAAAATTATAAAATTTTCCCAATGGTTACCAAGCAATTGAGGTTTGAACATTTTATTATTGTTGATAAATCTCTAAAGAACTTTCTCAGCAATTTACATCCATTATCAAAGTTCTTGTCGACAATTAACTTTGGCTAGATACAGGTCGAGACCGGACCGTCAAGACCAGCAACAGCAGCAACAACAACAACAGCAATACGGAAAACAACAGTCCAACTATTGGAACGGACCTCCGCAGCACGCCATCGCCCCAGTACAAGATTTCGGAGGGCCCCAAATGAGACAACAACAGTACAACAATCGCAAATTCCAAAACCGCAACTATCAGCAGCAACAAGATAACGCCATGTCTGAAGGTATAATAATAATAAGTTTGTTGAAAATTAATTAATTCAATCAAACTAGCAGGTGGTCAATGGCAATCGACAGGCGAACTTGAACCATTCAAAAAGGACTTTTACGTGCCTCACAAAAATACAACAACAAGATCTGAAGAAGATATTGACAAGTACCGAGAGGTGAAGGACATTATTGTGCAGGGTGCCAACGTGCCTCAGCCCAACTTTAATTTCGAAGAGAGCAGTTTTCCTGATTACATCATGCAAGTGCTTATGGGGCAAGGCTTCAACGATCCTACTTCAATCCAGGCCCAAGGTTGGCCTGTTGTTTTGAGCGGAAGAGATTTAGTTGGTAATACAAGTTTACAATTTTTCTGTTAATTTTGATACATAAATATTGGTTTATATTAAAGGTATTGCTCAAACTGGTTCAGGCAAGACTTTGGCTTATATGCTACCGGCTGCAGTTCACATTAACCATCAGCAAAGGCCTCAAAGGGGAGAGGGCCCCATTGCCCTTGTACTGGCTCCAACTAGGTAAGTTTTATTGGCTGCAAAAGTCACATATTAGAGCTCAATTGAAACTATACTATTTTCTTTTGGGTGTCGGAATTGTGGCAAATAAAAAAAAAGAAATTCTTATATATTGTGATTTTCTTGATTTTTAAGCTTGAAAATCTTAAAATTGAGAATTTGTACAGGGTGTTAAGTTATAAAGTACCCTGTAACTTTTTTATTTTTGATTGTACATGAAAGAGTTACAGAGGGTGATACATTATAATTTATAACTTGACACCCAAAACAATACAAATAATGAATTTATTTTCTCAGAGAATTGGCTCAACAAATTCAGAAAGTCGCCCACGAATTTGGTACCAACACAATGATCCGGAACACCTGTATCTTTGGAGGTTCGCCCAAAGGTCCGCAGGCGCGTGATCTAGAAAGAGGGGTTGAAATTGTAATTGCCACTCCTGGAAGGCTGATTGATTTTCTGGAAAAAGGCACCACCAATTTAGCTAGGTGCACCTATTTGGTGTTGGATGAAGCTGATAGGATGTTGGACATGGGATTTGAGCCCCAAATTCGGAAGATTATCCAGCAGATCAGGCCTGATAGACAGGTGATGACTTCACATTTTTAATAGTTCATAACTTTTTTGATTTTTAATCCATTGATTTGAGTTTTTGATATAAGTTGCCTTAAAACCTCAAAAATAACTTCCGAAATTTTCATTATTGTGCTTCTAATAGTTTTTGACAAAAATCTTTGAGTAGAAGGACTTGTTAAATGTGGCACTTTTTAAGAAAATGCATGTTTTTCAAGGGTCCACAAATTTTTCATTTTTGAATCAATTGCTTTGAATTTTTGATATAAGTTGCCTCAAACAAACTCAACAAACTACTCTTCAATTTCAGGTCCTGATGTGGAGCGCCACCTGGCCAAAACAAGTTCAAGCTCTGGCCGAAGAATTCCTAGTCGACTACGTCCAAGTTAACATTGGAGGCCTTTCTTTGTCGGCCAATCACAACATCAAACAAGTAGTAGAAGTGTGCGAAGAACCCGAAAAAGAAGAAAAACTAAACGGACTTTTGAAACAAATCGCTTCCGATAGGAACAATAAAATAATAATTTTCGTTGAAACAAAAAAGAAGGTGGACGACATTACAAAAGCCGTTAAAAGCGTCGGTTTCTCAGCAATCTCAATCCACGGCGACAAGTCGCAACCTGAGCGCGACTACGTCCTCAACGAATTCCGCACTGGAAAATTCTCAATTCTCGTAGCCACCGACGTTGCCGCAAGAGGCCTTGATGTAGAAGACGTAAAATACGTCATCAATTACGATTATCCGAATTCCAGCGAAGATTACGTACACAGAATCGGCCGTACAGGCCGTTGCGAGCAAGCCGGCACCGCCTACACCTTTTTCTCGGCCAACAATCAACGTCAGGCCAAAGATCTGATATCCGTGCTGGAAGAAGCCGGTCAAAACGTACCGGCCAAGTTGCAAGAGTTGGCACAATCGTCCCGCAACGGCCAACAAACCGGCAGGAACCGTTGGAACCAACGCAACAAAGATAACTCTTCTCCCAACTCCAACAACCCGAATCAGCGCAACTCTTGGCAAAAGAAACCGCAAAACTTCAACAACGGAATGGAGTTTTACGGTAATAGGCAACAAAACGGTGGCGGGTCTCCTAAAAATGGACCTCAACAGAACAATTTCCATCAAAAACCCAGATACAATAATGGCGGATTTCAGTACCAAAATCAACAATATCAGCAACAGCAGCAACAAGCTTACCAGCAAAGCTACAGCCCGCCTTTGTACAATCCTCAAATGGGCGGACAACAAAGAAACAATTACGGTAAGTGATTATTTCTTTGTTGTTTTGTACTTAATCCATTATTGCAGCTCAAGGCAATCAGCAACGCTTCAACAACCAACAAAGGTACCAGAACCCGCGCCACCAGCAACAGCAGCAGTACCACCACCAATCGGCCGCCCCTTTTATGCCTCAAGCTGGCAATCAGGCTACTTACATGATGCAACCTGCTTCGGGTGTGCCTGATGGGTTGCAAAGTATTATCGGGCATAAGTTTTTCCAGAGCAGGGGCTTGACTGGTGCGGCCAATCCTTGCGCTTACCAGCAGAATCAGGGGGGTCCTTATGGGGGACAGTACCCTGCTGCTGCTGTCAGTTACACTACGGCTGCCGCTTATCATCAGTATGCAGCTGCTGCGCCTGCTGGGACTGTTCAGCAGTAGTGAGGGGTATTTGGGTAAGTAAATTTGATTTATAGCTCCTATTGAGCTTGTTGGTTGATTTATTCATGAAGTTGATAGAATTTTCTAGAAATGTAGTTGAAAATTAATATATATTTTGCCTTATTTTGAATTGAAGTTGCACAGATTTTAGTACAAAAAATTATGCATTATTAACTTAGCGTACTTGAAAAGTACATATTTTTGCAGGCTCATAGCTTTTTCATTTTTTGGTTCAATTGCTTTAAGTTTTTGATATAAGTTGCCTCAAAAATAGTTCCCCAAATTTTCATAGTTGTACATTTAGTAGTTTTTGAGGCAAACCTCTAAGTGGAGGGCTTTGTCATATTTTGTATTTTATAGAAAAATGCATGTTTTTGATAGCTCGCAACTTCTGCATTTTTAGATCAATTGCGTTGAGTTTTTGATATAAGTTGCCTCAAAACCTCAAAAATAGTTCCTCAAATTTTCATAGTTGTACATTTAGTAGTTTTTGAGGCAAACCTCCAAGTAGAGGGCCTTGTCAAATTTTGTATTTTATAGAAAAATGCATGTTTTCGATGGCCCACAACATTTTCATTTTTGGATCAATTGCTTTGAGTTTTTGATATAAGTTGTCTCAAAGTCTCAAAAATAGTTTCTCAAATTTTCATGATTATACATTTAGTAATTTTTGAGGAAAATTTTTGAGTAGAGGGGCTTGTCAAATTTTTCACTTTTCAAGAAATTGCATATATTTGATGGCCCACATTTATTTCATTTTGGGATCAATTGTTTTAAGTTTTTGACATAAGTTGCCTCAAAGCCTCAAAAATAGTTCCTCAAATTTTCATAATTGTACTTTTAGTAGTTTTTGAGGCAAACTTCCAAGTGGAGGGCTTTGTCAAATTTTGTATTTTATAGAAAAATACATGTTTTTGATAGCCCACAACTTCTTCATTTTTGAATCAATTGCTTTGAGGTTTTAAAATTAGTTGCCTCAAAACCTCAAAAATAGTTCTTCAAATTTTCATAATTGTACATTTAGTAGTATTTGAGGCAAACCTCCAAGTAGAGGGTCTTGTCAAATTTTGTATTTTATAGAAAAATGCAAGTTTTTGATATTTCATAACTTCTTCATTTTTGGATCAATTGCTTTTAGTTTTTGTCATAAGTTGCTTCAAAGCCTCAAAAATAGTTCCTCAAATTTTCATAATTGTACATTTAGTAGTTTTTGAGGCAAACCTCCAAGTAGAGGGCCTTGTCAAATTTTGTATATAGAAAACTGCATGTTTTTGATAGCCCACAACTTGTTTATCTTTGAATCAATTGCTTTGAGTTTTTAATATGAGTTGCCTCAATGTTTCAAAAATAGCTCCTCAAATCTTCATAATTGTACATTTGGTAATTTTTGAGGAATATTTTTGAGTAGAGAGGCTTATCAAATTTTCCATTTTATAAGAAAATGCACATTTTTGACGGCCTACAACTTCTTCATTTTTAGATTAATTGCTTTGAATTTTTGATAGAAGTTGCCTCAAAGCCTCAAAAATAGTTCCTTAAATTTTCATGATTATACATTTAGTTATTTTTGAGGAAAATCTTTGAGTAAAGAAGCTTGTCAAATTTTCATTTTTTAAGAAAATGCACATTTTTGATGGCCTACAACTTCTTCATTTTTGGATCAATTGTTTTGAGTTTTTGATATAAGTTGCCTCAAAGCCTCAAAAATAGTTCCTTAAATTTTCATGATTATACATTTAGTTATTTTTGAGGAAAATCTTTGAGTAAAGAAGCTTGTCAAATTTTCATTTTTTAAGAAAATGCACATTTTTGATGGCCTACAACTTCTTCATTTTTGGATCAATTGTTTTGAGTTTTTGATATAAGTAGCCTCAAAGCCTCAAAAATAGTTCCTGAAATTTTCATATTTGTACATTTAGTAGTTTTTGAGGCAAACCTCTAAATGGAGGGCTTTGTCAAATTTTGTATTTTATAGAAAAATGCATGTTTTTAATAGCCCATAACTTTTTCATTTTTTGATCAATTGCTTTCAGTTTTTGATATAAGCTGCCTCAAAGCCTCAAAAATAGTTCCTTGAATTTTCATAATTGTACATTTAGTAATTTTTGAGGAAAATCTTTGAGTACAGAGACTTGTCAAATTTTCATTTTTTGAGAAAATGTACATTTTTGATGGCCTACAACTTTTTCATTTTTGGATTAATTGCTTTGAATTTTTGATATAAGTTGCCTCAAAGCCTAAAAATAGTTCTTCAAATTTTCATAATTGTACATTTAATAGTTTTTGAGGCAAACCTCCAACTAGAGGGCCTTGTCAAATTTTGTAGTTTATAAAAAAATGCATGTTTTTGATAGCCCACAACTTTTTCATCTTTGAATCAATTGCTTTGAGTTTTTAATATGAGTTGTCTCAAAGTTTCAAAAAATAACTCCTCGAATTTTCATAATTGTACATTTAGTAATTTTTGAAGAAAATCTTTGAGTAAAGAAGCTTGTCAAATTTTCCATTTTTTAAGAAAATGCACATTTTTGATGGCTTACAACTTCTTCATTTTTGGAATAATTGTTTTGAATTTTTGATATAAATTGCCTCAAAGCCTCAATAATAGTTCCTCAAATTTTCATAGTTGTACATTTATTAGTCTTTGAGGCAAACCTCCAAGTAGAGAGCTTTGTCAAATTTTGTATTTTATAGAAAAATGCATGTTTTTAATAGCCCACAACTTCTTCATTTTTGGATCAATTGCTTTGAGTTTTTGATATAAGTTGCCTCAAAGCCCCAAGAATAGTTCCTCAATTTTTATGCAGTAGTTTTGAAAAAAAGAGGATTATATTTTTACATGTAGTCTAGTGTTACATTGTCCTTATTATTAAATTTTTTCTAGGTGCTGTTCCAATACTGCGGATCAAAAAACACACAAACAACCCCCCCGTTTTCACATTATTCTTTCGGTTAGGTTTTTAGGATAGAGTTTATTTTATTTTTTTTTGTTGAAGGTTGAATTTATTTCAAAAAAGAGAAAACACAATCGCAACAGCTAACAGCGGACGCTATGTATTGAAACGCGCCAGCTCCCCGCTCTAGCAGACAAATTTTTTTTAATTAAATATATAATTGGGAGATAAGTCAGACCTTTCAACGTTTCTTCTAATATTTAGTAAGTTTAGGCTTAAGGTAAGAGACTTCAGGGCAATTATTCTCAAAACAAAGATACAGTATAGTGTTCTCATGCAATACCTATTTCTATAACACATTGATAAAGACAAAGTTCTTTGGTTTCGAGAATAAATATCCAGATTGTATGAGAAAGCGTTTTGTTTCGGCCAATATGGCTGGAACAAACCCCAAAAAAAAAAAATTAAATGTGTAGTGTGTAGTAAATTTACCCTGTATGCCATTGAAATGCACGAAACTAATAGAAGGGGAGTTTCGGCTATGTTTAAAATAAACGAAAAAAAAAAAAAGTATAGTATTTAAACGAAAAAATACCATGATATTATATTATTGATGCTAAGCGGTGCTAAAAAAAAAACACATCAAACAAAAACAGGATCCCAATTAATTATTATTAGGTTTGTTCGTACAACAATCACAAACCAGTCAGAAGGAATTTCATTGGTTGAAAACTAGTGTTTCAATTCGTGATTGGTTTGTGATTACTGTGCGAACAGACTTATTATTGGCAATAATTTTTTGTCAATCTTATACACACAGTATTCTTTAGGTTTTAAGTTTTTCTTTTGCCCCTTGAAGACACGCGCGCGAATGTAATTTTAGTTTTAAAACGATTGCAGAAGGGCTGTGTTTCTATTGGACAAAAAGAAAAAGCGCGGTAATTTTGAAAGTAAAGATGTTTTTTAGCCAAAGAATAAAGAGTGATTGTTTTTGACCAAGTTACATGTATGACTTATATTTTGTTTGAAATCAAAGAGAGCATTATTAACCCAGTTTTGGTTATTTGTCTTTATTGTTTGACAAAAATTCACAACTACGAGAAGGTAGTCACTTTGTGGAGATCTTATTAGAACTTCATGGATATGTGTATTTTTAAGTATTTCTATTAGATATCAACTGCTGGGCCTTGACTCTCAAACGTCGTTGCCAGTCAAGTACTCTGTCCATGTAAATTCATAAGATCTCCATCCCTTAGGAGAACAGAAGATTTCCACAGTGACTCTCCTCGTATGGCTGTCAGTGCAGATATATAAAACAATCAAATAAGTTTATCTTATTATTTTTAATCGCTCGAATGTAATAATAATCATTGAATAAATGGGGTTTCAGTGAAAACTAATATTTTTTTAAACAAAACTAAAAAGGATCTTTTTTAGCAAGGACTGCTAGTGTCGTGTAAATATAATATGTAGTATTAAGTGATGATTTTTTTTTTATTTTAAAATCTCTCTATCTGTCTCTCGTTTTGTCGTTTATTAAGGCGTGGTGCTAAATTAACTCGCGATCGAACGGTCAACAAATAAATTAGCTCACGGTGACATCTGTGATATATTTTTTTTTTTTTTTCGAGAGGTAGCAAAGAATAATAACTTGTTCCGAATAATTGAACAATACTAAAAGAGGGCGTATATATAATATTGTGATAATTATTCCCAATTTTTAATATAAAGACTGATGAAAATATTTTTCTCTCTCACTCGTTTTCTTAAGGGCCAAGTTATCCTTGGCTTTTTTTATCCTGTGGTTGAATCAGGGTAGAATGAATTTTTTAAAAGAAATATTTTCGTAATAGTTTTTTTTAGGGTTCACTTTGGCCTCTAATATAGACTAATTGATTTTTCCGCTAGCAGGGGGAAAGTTACTTATTATATTTATTGTAAAATTAAAACGTACCTCGAAAAAAAATTCGGAAAAAATTGTGTGATAAGTACACATTAAAACTAAAAATGAAGAGTATATTATTCTGTGATGTTATCTAATAGTTAAGCGCCAATACGCATGCGTAACGACAACTTGTGTAATTATTATTTTTTTTTTTTTAATTAATAAAGAGTACCTTGAAGAAGATTTAAGGCCTGGGCCCGATTTTTCACAAAAAAAAAGCTGGCCTTTAACTCTTAAAACAAACAAAGTGATATAATAAGTTTCAGATACTCTTCTGTAAGTTTCAAGGTTTGTGCATTTCTTGTATGTAATACAGTATTATAATGTAATAATTAATCTTATTATAATGATAGTGTGTTTATTTTTTCTTTTCATTTTGGAAATTATGATTTTTTTTTTTTTTTTTGTTATTATTATTATTTTGTCAAAATCGAAATAAATTTAAATTAGCTATTATTGGTTATTTTGCGTGCCCCCCTTATTTCAGGTCTTGATTTCCTTCAGGGAAATTTTCTTATGATTCAAGAGCCAGTAATAATCAAAATTTGAACAGGAAAGATTGAGCTATACACTTGTGAAGTTTTAGATAAATTGCTGAGAATAACTTTCTCCTAAGTCAGGAGTTTTTCCAAGTGAAAAAAAAAGTTCGAAATTTTAGTATGATGAGTTCTTAACATAGTAGGATAAACGTAGCTGCATAACATACGTGGAGGTGCAACAAATTGGCAACAAGCTGATTTCAGCGGAAATGTTTAGTAACTGACCTCCTATTTAACCTCCCAAAAGTCCCAATCAGTCCTAGGGGTGGAAGGTTGAAAAAAATGGCCGCCATCTTGGATTTTTTTGTTTTTTCCAAATATCTCAGTTTCTATTAGTTTTTTCGAGAAAACTTAAGAAACCTTTTTTGTTGAGAATTTAATTCTCTATAAAAAGTGTCTGTGCGTTTTTTTTTTTAACATAAAGGATAACGGAGATATAGTTTTTTTTTAGAATCTGATTTATAAATTTTTCATTTTTAGCGCCTTTTTTGATAAAATGTGAAGTAAGTGCAGCTATTTAACAAATCATCCCATTATTAATGATTAAATTATATCCTAAACTCGATTTCGTGACAACCAAAAATGCCCATGACACACAACCGCGTATTTTACCGCGCATTCACCTACAGGATAAATATGGATCAGGTGGAATCACCGCCACGCGACAAGTGACGTTTCCAAACGGCCAGCGGGTGAATTATAACACATTGTTTTCTGATTTTCGTGCAATCAGAGCAGTTGATTCTTGTTAGTATGTTGCATATAATTAATTTTAATTGAATATTCTTTTAATGCGTAACAGGCTGGATTTACTAAGGTATTAGACGTTGTGAGACAGTGGGTCGATTCCGAACTGTAAAGTGTATATTATATTATAGTAAAAGCGGACATGACTTCGTTAAAAAACAATATGCTATGTGGTATTTGTGAGAAAGACAATAATGAAAAGACAGTGCAGGTGACTTTGAAAGGTTTAGTGAAAGCAAGTAAAATTCGCGGGGATGGTAAGTGGGAAGATTTTAGTGAAAATTTGCCGGTCGTACATGCAGCATGTAGACGGAAATACACGCATCCAACCGAACTTTCCCAGTTTAGTAGAGAAGTTCCTGGTCGTGTTGAAGTGTCACAACCGCCAAAAATAAAAAGTACACTGCGATCAAAAACTGAGAATGTTTTTAATTTCAAGACATATTGTTTTTTTTGTGCCGAGAACATTGATATAAACCTTCTGAAGCAAAAAAACAAAATTCAAACAATCCGCTCAGTTGCTACACTACATATTAAAGACACAATTCTTGAATGCTGCAAGGAAAGAAATGATGAGTGGAGTAGAGAGGTGCATAGAAGAATATGCAATGAAGGGGATCTTGTAGCAGCTGAGGCAAAATATCATGTCAATTGTTACAGCCTTTTTCTAAAGGGAAAAAGCCTTGGAAAAAGCAACACACAAGCAGGAAGACCTATAAATGATATTTTTGAGAACGCTTTCACGATGTTATGTCAATATCTTGAAAATTGCCAATTTTCCTTGAAAGAATTACTTGATAAAATGAAGACTTATTTACCTCCCGACACTGAGCCATGGTCAGTTTATTTTTTCAAAAATAGATTGAAAAAAAATATATCATGAGAAAATATTAGCTACGGACATTCCTGGAAAACCTTCAGTGATATGTTTAAAGAATAATTGTGAAAAACTTGTTTCCGATGAGTGGTTAAAACAAAGGGATAGTAGAAACAATACACCTGAAGAAGAACTTGTTTCCATTCTAAAGGCAACCGCCCAAATATTAAAAGAGGACATTAGGGGAATGGTTACTAATTTGGATGAGTATCCTTCTTGCGATGATATCAAAACAGGTGGAAATTCATTTTTTCCTAATTCACTTGACGTTTTCTTTGAGGAGTTGGTCCTAAAAGGCAGGAAAAGTCCACTATATCAGACTAAAGTGTCTGCAATGAAAAACTTTATTATCTCTTTGGTACGTGTTAAATCCTTCCTTTCACCAGTGATGTTTGGTCTGGGAATTCAACTTCACCGCAAATATGCCTCAAGATATTTGATTGATACACTTGCAGCTCTTGGTGTTTCCGTGTCATATTCGGAATGTTTGGCATTTGAAAACTCAGCGATCATTAATCATAAAGACTCTATATTTGACGAAAGTTTTGTACAGTTTGTATATGATAACGCAGACTTTAACATTCGTACCATGGATGGACATGGGACATTCCATTCTATGGGAGGAATAATGTGTTGTTCGCCTTCTACCGGCTCTAATATTCAAAGTATTCCTAGGCCAAAAAATCGGGTTCTTGCGTCAAATGTTGGAGAATTTGGGAGTCTACGTTTACAGGTAAGATCTTAAAAAATATTTAAATTATACATACAAGGTAAAACTTTGTTAAATCATCAATCTTTTTCTTTGGAGTTCTACAAAACACCTGCCAAAAGCGGACTTTGTCGTATTAAAATGGAATCCATTCAAGAGGAACCAAATGCTGAAAATGAACGTTTACCGGTACTTCTAGACACTCTGTGGCTAACTGGTAAGGTTTTGTCTTTTTCCTCAATTTCCTGGACTGGTTTTATGTCTACTCTTGAGTCTGACTCCTTGAACGTGGATACAAGTATTATACCGTTACCCTTTATCAACTTGGATCCTGGCAACTTGAACACAATTTATACAGCTCTTTCATTTGCGGCCGAAAAAAGCAAACGGTATGAAAAATCTTGTATCGTAACGTTTGACACTTTTTCAAAAAGCTGTAGATATCGTAGAAGGCTCAAATAAAAGTGATATTGTGTCTTCTGTGATTGTCAGGCTCGGAGGTTTCCACACTCTGATGTCTTTTATGGGAAGCGTTGGAAAAATCATGGCCGGAAGTGGCATAGAAGAATTGTTGACAACCGTATATGCAAAAAATACTGTACCCCATATGATGAGTGGCCATGCTTAGTCTAGAGCTTTACGAGGACATTTTCTAATACATGAAGCTTTAATTTTAATTATGTTGGATGACCCAGAAATTCTCTCATTATCCGAGGAAGACATTCAAAATATTCATAGTTTGTATAATGATACCAAACTCAATGTTATCAAAGAAAATGGATTACTTATTGAAGTTCAAGAAAAAGTCTATGGACGAATTGATGATTTAGCTAACACTAGCAGAATTGGAAAGTTGTGGGCAAATTACTGGAATTTAATCAATTTAATAAAACTTTTTGTTCAAGCTGAAAGAATGGGAATTTGGTGGCTTCATATTCACTGCATTAAACGGATGATTCCTATATTTTATGCTAATGGACATAATAACTACGCCAAGTGTGCATATCTTTATTTGCTACAAATGAAAAAATTGAAATCTATCAATGAAGAAGAATATTGTCGTTTCGTAAATCAGGGATTATTCACCATTCGCCGAAGAAGTAAATTTTGGTCAGGAACATGGAGCGACATGGTAATTGAACAGAGCCTCATGAGAGCAATGAAAACTCAAGGAGGCCTGACTCAAGGCTGTGGATTTTCTGATGCCTCTTTGGCCAGATGGATATCAAGTATGTCATCGTGTATCCCTATTGGTATATCTTTAGAAGAGTTTGTTCAAGTAAAGTCAATATCTTCAGATCAACATATTGAATTAACAAATGCCCGACAACGCCAAAATGAAAGTGATTTTAAAAAAATTCTAGAGTGGCTACAAGATCACAACCCCTTCAAATGTTCAGAGCTTTTGTCTATTTCAACAGGAATTATTGCTTCTCCTGATGTTAATTGTGATAAAGCTCAGGAAATCGGAGAAGTCATTTTCAATAGTCACATTGAGAAACATTTTACTGATATTCAGTGTAAAAGAAAGGACAATATCAAAAATTTGGCTTCTATGAATAGTAGCATCAAGCTACATAATACATATATAGACTTCAACCCGATGCAACTTTTCAACAGAATAATTTGTTCAAATAAAACATTGCTTCAAATATGAGTTGTCGCCATATCCTTTATCACTTTTTAAAGATGGTAATCTAAGAAAAGGAACAAAATCTCAACTTCTTCAGGAGCTTGATAAGATCTATAAGCCAGAAAGTATGCCCGACTCAGACACTGTTTATGTTATAGATGGAGGATTTCTGCTACACAAAGTCTCATGGCAAAAACCAGCCTCATATAATGACATCTTCCTTCAATATGTAAATTATGTTATTCACAACTATAACAAGGATTGTGTCATAGTCTTCGACGGCTACACGAAAGAGGTTATATCAACCAAAGAAAGTTTACAACGATGCAGATCAAAGGGAAGCATAGAAATTTCCATCCATGCCCAAGCTTCGGTAATTATACCACAAGTGGATTTTTTCAAGAACAGTCAAAATAAGACACAGTTTATAAATATCCTTCGAACCTACTTTGAAGACGTAGGTATAACTGTGCATCAAGCACCCAGGGATGCTGATTATCTTATTACAATGACAGCAGTAGAACTATCCATGATAAAAAAACACGTCACAGTTGTCTCAGAGGACACCGATATAATGGTTTTGCTTATACATCATGCAAAAAATAAAAATATATCCATGCTTCGCCCAGGGAAAGCAGCAAAAGGTAACAAAGTATCAACGATATCTGGCATACAAGATAAACTTGGACATCTGAAAAAACACATATTGTTTTTGCATGCCATATCACGATGTGATACCACATCTTTCCTGTTCAATAAATCCAAAAAAACTTGTCTTTCGCTACTTAAGGAAGATAATGATCTCTCCCAAAAATTTGACGTATTTTTGAATAGTAATGCAAGCAGAAATGATTTTCTTGAGTCGGGATTAAATTTTATTTTGAGGCTGTATTGTATCGCTGCCCAAAACATATCAAAAATATTAATTTGTTGAGGTATACTTTATACAATAGGACAGCATCAAGGCAAGGACTCAAGTCCACATTTAATTTGGCTACTTTGCCCCCAATCGCAGACTCTGCAGAACAACATGTTCTCAGGACATACTTTCAGGTATCACCTGTGAACTATAAAAATAACAAGTTTTAGAAAATATGTTCTATTTTTCAGATTCAAGAATGGATTGGCAACAACTTGGACCCTCTGCAATACGGGTGGAAGAAAAATAAGCAAGGTAACCTGATACCTGTACAATGTAAGGAAGCTGTAATTCCCCCCTGATTTTTTGCAATTGCAAAGAAAGTAACTGTTCCAAAAACTGTTCATGCAGAAAACTTGGACTTAAGTGTTCTTCCAAGTGTGGGCAATGTTACGGAATCAGTTGTTCGAACTGTTGTTTCATAGTAGATGAGGAGGAGGATGACGGTCTGGATGACGTCACACAGGAACTTTTTGAAGTTTAATTTGAGAGATTATTGAATACATAATATGTACACTATTATTATAAGCTTCATTATTTTTGTATTATACGATTGTTCATTTATGAAAAATTGATATTTAATTCGAATGGGATAAAAGTAAAGAAATGTTTGAAATATTCACCATAAAAAGCTCTGTATCTCCCTTATCCTTCATGTTATAAAAAAAAACGTACAGACACTTTTTATAGAGAATTAAATTCTCCACAAAAAAGGTTTCTTGAGTTTTTTCGAAAAAACTAGTACTTTAATTGTTGGAGTACTCTAACTGTTCGGACTACTCCAAATGTTCGGAGTGCATTGCCAAACTTACCGATAATAACCAGGTTAGTTTGGGTTAGTTTCCAATTTTAATCCGACATTACGTGGGTTAGTTTGCATACTTTTGGTTAATTTCAGAGGAAATGAAAGATAATAGACCTGATGATGGATATCTCGGAAACAAAACGCGAGCGACAAAAACGGAGATTCGTGATTAGCGCTTAAAATTATACCTTCCTATAAAAAATCATCAAATTCGGAGAGGGTAACGGATAATACCTAATAGGTACCTAAAAATGTACTTTTCAATTGACCTTTTGTTTGGACGCCATATTGCGGTGCGCGAACATAGTTACTAAAAAAAGAAAACAAAAATTACTAGCGGGCTGTCAACATTAAAAACAAAAGTAACTAAATGATTGATCCTCGCTATCCTTTTTGCTTGTTTACTTTCTCTCTCTGATTCTATAAACAATAAAGCCTAGTACTTATAACCGCGAAATTCGCTCTTTTTTGACATTGCTTCGACAATTTGACGTTTTATGCATGAATCTGCGGCATGAATTAAACGTCAAATTGTTGTCAAAAAACAGCGAATTTCGCGGTTATGAGTACTAGGCTTGAGAAAGGAAACCGAAATTTGGTAAAGTGAATAGGTAGATATTTTATTATTTATATTCTGCCCAATAACAAGTTAAAATTGATGGCTTTTCTTTTCAAAAACATTCGTAATAGGCGGCAAATTTGAATTTTAAATGTAATTTATTCAGTAACTTTTGTTTTTAATGTTGACAGTACGCTAGTGATTTTTTTTTTCCTACTTTTGGCAACTATGTTCGCGCACCGCAATATGGCGTCCAAACAAAAGGTCAATTGAAAAAAGTCGACTTGCTTTAGGTATATTTATTCACGTTTTGACGGCACCGTTTTTGGCAAATTGTAAAATGCCTAAAAATAATTAGTCACAACATGAAATATACTTTTCTGTTCTTTTTTTGCCGGCATTTTATTAATTTGCCTGAATTGGTGTCGGCATAACGAAAAATTTATTCTATGCTCGCGTTTTGTCGGCTTTTTGTGAAATGCCTAGGTTATTTATAAAAAGCCTGAATTTTCATAATGCCTACGACAGATACATATTATTATCACTTAGCAAAAAGGTATAGAAGGCTTAAACTTATTGTTTTTGGGCGTGGCACCCGATAAAATTTTTGAAGCGTTCTAGAACCAGAGCTCTTGCATCATTGGTCCTAGCCGATTTCACAATAGGCAGCCCTAATTTAAATACAATAATAATTACTAAAAAATTTAGTTGTTTTGGATAAGGGCGGTTTTTTCATGCCTGCACAAAGGCGGCAGAGGGGCTAGGACCGGCCCTGAGTTCGGTTTAAAGGTAGATAAAGGCAGACTTTTGAGAATTTTCATGGGTGCAAAATAACGACTTTGTAACATTGTTTATAAGGGGATGGAGAAGCTCGCCTCAGACGCCGCCAGATGCGATTTTTTTTTTCTAGTGCCCGTATTACATTTGTGTATTTTTCCGTGTATTTATTCGGAGTGACAACCGAAAAACTTCAAACGCAACATAAATCCGCATTATGAAAAACAAAATAATGTTGGCACCCTGAACTACATGAATAAATACACGGAAAAATACACAGATGTAATACACGCATAGGAGTATGCGAAAAATGTTTTTTTCTGCACGCATTTTAAGCTATGAAAATATCACTTTTCGCACTAGTGCGAAAAAGTGAAATAATTATGTTATGTTGAGTCCCCTGGTTCTTTCATGTTCTAAAATATGCGTGCGAAAAAGTACTTTTCCTCATTTAATTGCTACGCACTACGCACACGCTCTAAGTGACGTTTTGTTTTATTTTAGCCGCCTCTGTCAACTGTCAGACTGCCACTGTCAACCAATGAACTATACGCAGGGCAAAGGACTTATTATAAAAGATCCGCAAGAAGATTATATCGATATTTTTTCGATATATCAAATATAAAATATCGGTACTTTCCGTTGTGCGTGGAACTGTCCTGATTATTATCAAAGAATAGAAATAGAGAATAGCAGCAACATAAAAGGCAATATTTAGCGAGGATAATCAAACCAAACATAATCTGCATATGCTCAAATGTTATTTGTGAATTGTGTCACAGTCCCCTAACTCCCTCCCCAACTAATTCTGGGACTGCGAATGACGTCACTATCAGCATCTCATAGTGATGACGTCACCCGCAGACCTCAATAGAATGCTTACTATTGAGACTGTGCTAGTGAATTATTTTTTTCATCGATTTTAAATGAAGAAAAGATTATTTTCAGTATGTTCTCACAGAAGAAGTTAAGTGTTCTTGATCTTCGAGTATTCCAGAATTTAATAGTGGGGGAGTTGACAAAATTGATACATAACATCTTAACATAATCGAGTATGCTTGGTTTTCCTTGAGAAAAATTGCCTACAATGCCTATGTAATAGAGCATAGAACTGACCACATAACGGAAGGACAGAATACAAATACCACTTGCATAGGCCGAGTTCGATTTTGACGTTTTTTTCATCTCTTTTGTCGATTTGGTCCGAAATTTTGACAGGCACGTGACTAGATAAGACAGTTTCAATTTACAAATCACGTGCTTGTCAAAATTTCGAAGGAAATCGACGAAAAAGATGACAAAAACGAACTCGGCCATTGTATAATTCTTAAACAAAGTTGTGTAAATTTAAATTACATGATACATGGAACGGAATGACTAATAAACACGTTTGTACTTCCGCAATCCTTACGAGATCCCCCATGAGAGGGAGCAATATACAGCTACTATGTTACGGTCAAGCTCTGCGCAACCGCCTCACAGACTATTGTGTGCCTTTCGGGCATGTTTGTTGCGCCCCAACAATATATATATACAGGGTGAGTTATTAAACGCGCGGTGGTCCATATCTCCTATACTAACGGAGATAAGAGAAAAAACTAAGTGCAACATTTTTAGATAAACATTCCTAAATTATTTTCCAGTATACAGAGTGGCCCAATAACTAGCAGTGACACAAAGTTATGTTTTTTTAAATGACTCCCCCTGTATATTATAACATTTCTGGATTTTGCAGAAAATTCTAGATATATTTTATGTACAATGTCATACCTATCTTCAACTGTTTCGGAAATATTGACAGTTGAAAACTGACTTTTTTGTATATTTGACACACTGTAAAACCTGAACGGTTAATTTTACAAGAAAACGGATTTTACATTCCTATCTTAGTTTTTCATAAACTATCATTTGGCACCAATCTTGAATTTAATCTTTGGTTAAATTCAAAGTTGGTGTCAAATGATAGCTTATGAAAATCTAAGATAGGAATGTAAAATCCGTTTTTCACTAAAATTAACCGCTTAGGGTTCACAATCTGTTAAAAATGCAAAAAAGTCAATTTTCAACTGTCAATATTTCCGAAACAGTTGAAGATAGGTATACAGGGTGTCCACTTAGCGCGATAACGGACGATATCTCCTTACAGAGTGATATAAGAAAAAAAAGTTAAATTACAAAGTTGTTTGATACTCTCATATGCATTATTTAAAAATATTTTTGAACATACATGGGGCTCCGTTTATGAAATATGCGACAAAACTTTGTTATTTTAAATGGAACACCCTGTATATTATTACATATTTGAATTCTACATAAAATTTTGAACAGATTTATGTAATATACTCCATACCTAATTTCAACTATTTTGAAAATATTGACAGTTGAAAATTGACTTTTTGCAACTTTGACAGGCTGTAAAATCTAAACGGTTAATTTTAGACGAAAACTGATTTTACATTCTTGTCTTCGATTTTCATAAACTATCATTTGACACCAACTTTGAATTTAAACGGAGATTAAATTCAATTAGAATTTCATGGATTAAATTTAAAGTTGGTGTCAAACTGTCAAATGATATTTTATAAACAGGACCCCGCAATATTTAAATGGAAATTGGTTGCCCGTGATATTTGGATGAAATTTAAATATGTTATTGGGGATGCCGTAAGCAACATTTTTTACCATAGGCACAACCCTGTATATATGACAGGTGAGGCGTGGTTAGCTGTCAAATATTGGAATCTCATATCCAAAAGCAGAGTAACTATGGCAGATTTTGATGAACAAAAAATCTATTTCTACCAAGTCGACCAAATTGAGCCGAAAAATGTCAACCATTTTCACATCTGTCAAAACCCTGCCAAACGGCAGCATTCATTTTTCCCAGTTTTCAATATTTTATGATGTTATTTGTCATTTTTAACTTGTATGTAAATTCTGAATTCAAAAATTGAAAAAAAAAAAAAAAAAAATGACAGAACTGTCAAAATGACATCATTGTAGATTTCATTTGTGCCAAAATGTTTGAGTACTTTAATGATTTCATTTTAGTACTGACTGAGTATTATAATGATTTCATTGAAGTACTCAAAAAAAATCGCCGGTATATAAAATCCTTTATACTAAAACTACGTATTTTAAAATGAAAATTGACATGTCTGTCAAAATCTGGAACCTGCGTGTAATGTTTTTTCATGCGTTATCATAAAAAAAACCCAACTTAAATTGGAAAAGAACTAGATTTGATTCTTTTTTGACTTAAAGCTATTGACAGATTCTGACAGCTGTCAAAATGTGACGTGCATGAACTTTGTTCAATGTTTTATCACCAATAAACTACCTTAAGGGTGGGTTCCGGTGTCTAACCTGGTTAACCGGTCGGTTGACAGCGGTTGACAACGATTGACAAGTGGTTGCTGAAAAATTCGGTTTCATACGGAACGCTTTTTCAAGCGCAGAATCGCCGCCGGTTGCTTTGATGACATGTTTGACATAACCAACCGCGTTCCGTATGGACCGGTTTTTCAGGAACCAGACATTACGGAACGTGTAACCGTAACCAAGGTTGGCAACGGATCCCACCCTAAATCGAGAAAGAACCAAATTAGAGTATTTTTTTCTACTAAAACAAATGACAGGTTTTGACAGTTCTGTCATTTTTTTTTTTTTCAATTTTTGAATTCAGAATTTACATACAAGTTAACAATGTCAGATGACATCATAAAATATTGAAAACTGGAAAAGATGAGTGGTGCCGTTTGGCATTGACAGGTGTCAAAATGGTTGACATTTTTCGACTTAACTTGGTCAACTTGGTAGAAATAGATTTTTTTGTTCATCAAAATCTGCTATAGTTACTCTGCTTTTGGATATAAGATTCCAATATTTGATAGCTAACCACGCCTCACTTGTCATATATACAGGGTTGTGCCCATGGTAAAAAATGTTGCTTACGGCATTCCCAATAACATATTTAAATTTCATCCAAATATTACCAATTTCCATTTAAATATTGCGGGGTCCTTTAAAATAGGAATGTAAAATCGATTTTCGTTTAAAATTAACCATCGAGATTTTACAGCCTGTCAAAGTTGCAAAAAGTCAATTTTCAACTGTCAATATTCCCAAAACAGTTGAACTTAGGTATAGGGTATATTACACGAAATCTGCTCAGAATTTTACATAGAATCCAAATATGCAATCATATACTAGGTTGTTTCATTAAAAATAACAAAGTTCTTAATAACAGAGCACCCTGTATATTCAAAAATATTTTTAACTAATGCATATTGGAGTATCAAACAACTTTGTAATGTTTTTTTTTTTCTTGAATCACCCTGTAAGGAGATATCGTCCGATATCGCACTAAGTGGACACCCTGTATAATATTATACATGAAATATGTCTAGAATACAGAAATGTCATAATATACAGGGGGAGTCGTCGACCCCCCCCCTACGTCGACAGTACATATTTTTTTGCGGGCGCCCCTGTTGAGCATAATGGGCAAGTTACGTATACAAAAACACTAGTTGTCCACCCCTTCGCACGTGGTTCAAACACCACCCTACTTAAAGGGGGTGTAACTTGAAAATACAACTTGTCTAGCGTAACGTCATAAATACACGCAAAAATTACGAAACCTATTTAAACTGACGCAATGATAGGGGTTAGAACGCAAAAACAATACGCCAATGTCAATAATATACGACAAGCATGAGCAAACGCGCGCCCAGCGGACTCAGTTTGTGCATATGACGTCATAGTGCTGTGAGTGGCAAATTTATACCACTTTTCTTCACAACGGTTGGTAGTAGCCTAGTGCGAAAATTGGTTCTTAGAATTTTTTTAAATTTCATTTTTGGGTCACACCCCCTTTAAGACCGAAAGCATTAACGTTTGACAAGTCGCCGTCGCCTAAGCCTACTACATATCAATTATCTATATTGTTTGCCCTGTTGCCCAGAAGCTCGGCTTGGGACGTATAGGCCAGATTTTACCAGCTCATTCATGTAGTTTAAGTGCACCATATTCCTTGTGTTCAGGATCATGAATCTACTTCAAAGACAAGATACGGACATGGGCTGTCGCACCCTCCCAGCTTTATGGTGCCAGAGTTCGCCTTGTTACCCAGAATTATGGGATAGTGGCCCTGTTGTTCTGCCCAACTGGTCAGGACAAAACCGTTCACAGTTAAGACATAGCACCCTCTGTTGCCAGAACAAAACGGTTCTGTAATCTTCTATGTTGTGTCGGAGAAGCTCAGGAGCTTTGCCCATCTATCCGAATGGCCCAAGTTACTACTGACGAAAATGGAATCTGTTAGAAGTTCAAATCCCTAGGGGAGTGTGGACATAACGATTTCGAGTTCCCGCGTTGCCAGACTCCAGTGGACATTCTGGAAAACAGAGACTATTTTTATATGCAATTGCACACACGAGAGCCCTTAAGAAATGGGCGCCCGGTCGGCATATGCCGACCTAGCCAGTCCGTCACTGGCCTTGATTACTTTCAGAGAAATTTTCAAGAGCCGGTAATAATCAAAATTTGAATTATTTCTGGCTCTTGATTCCATCTGAAAAGGTTTTCTTATGACTCAAGCAAAACATGACTTGAAGTCATACAAAGGTAAAAACAAACACAATAAAAATAAATTATAATAATTTTAATAAAACAAATCAATTTTTATCATTTTCCTCCTCTTCTTCTTCCTCCAAAAACTTATCCCACCCCTCCAACCTTTGATTAATCTCCGAGTCAGTTTCTGCAATCTTAAACTTGGTCTTGCCATCCCAAATCTCTGCAGTTAGTTGTCGTTTCATGAACCATCTACCATTAAGCATTTTAACCACCTGATCAGCCTCCTCTGGCTGCGCCATGCTAATCTGAGCCACCCCCTCTGGATGCCTATCGTAAATAGTAACTTTACGCACTTCTCCAATTTTACCTGCCTCCTCCCTAAGATCTTGTTGGAATTCTAAAATAAGACTAACATCTTTGTCAAATAGTTTTGGGTCAAACAGGTTCCTAATTATGACAATTCTTTCATGTTTGGCACGTTCGTCCAGTTTTTTTTCAGGCCTCCAATCAAATAATTTCTCTTGTTGCTTTTTCAGCTTCAACTTGTCTTTGCGCTTTTTCATTTTGGGCTTCAGCTTCGGGTCGTAGGCCCCTTTAAGTTGAAACTGGGCCCTTTCAACTTTAATTTTCTTATTTTTATATTCATAACCATCTAATAAACTTAATGCTAAGTCTACACTTTCGATTTTTATGTAGGTGCAAAGAGCGTCGCCTTTGAGGTCCCCAGTACCTTGATCTCGGTACAATTTGACTTTGAATTTGCCTGTTTGCACGTCACGCATTACCAGGCCGCATTTTTGCATTAGATCTACAAATTCTTGCTCTTCAATGTCTAAAGGTAAATTGGCAACATAGACATTTGTGTTTTGATTCTGATCCACTTCAAACCAAGTAGGCTCAGATGCTTTGCGTTTTTCTGCTGCAACAATTGGTTTTGTTAGAGTGGGGTCAATTTCAGGTTTGGGGTCTTCAGGTTTGGTGAAACCGTAATTCATTTGGTAGGCAACCATGAAGTCTTCGTCTAGTTTAGGAAACCAAGCGTGTTTTTCTTTGTCCCAGAAGAGTTTGGTGCCGTCTGAGTCGGTGTAGACGTGAGTGTCGTCTTCAAAGGAGTAGGAGGTTTTTTTTGGGGTTGGGACCCATTCAGATTTGTCTTTGTCCCACTGGTATTGGAAATTTGTGGTTTTGTCTGTGTAGATGGCAATTTCTCCTTCATAGTGGATGTTTTGGGGGTCAAAATTACTTGTGGCATCTTCTTGTTGGGGTTCAATTACTTTTTTATTGAGATCTGTTTCATTTGCTTCTCCTTTGTAGTGGATGTTTTGGGGGTCCAATTTACTCGTTGAATCTTCTTGTTGGGGTTCAATTACTTCATTAATGAGGTCCGTTTCATTTGCTTTAGGGGTATTTTCTCCTTCGTAGTGGATGTTTTGGGGGTCAGATTTACTTATTGTTGAATCTTCTTGGGGTTTAATTATCTCATGTATGGGGTCCGTTTCAATTACTTTGGGGACTAAACTGGTTCCTTCTTCCATTATTGGGGCTTTTAAATGACTATTTTTATTAATTTTCAATGTTTACATTACACATATACACAAACATAACCCAACTTTTTTCTGTCAATTTTCATTACTGCGGCCATATTGAAAACGCTGATGTTCTTTGTCTCTTTTCAATCGTGTACATTAAAAAAAGATAATTAGTGATCGGATCACTTAGAAAAACAACTCAATCCATCTATCAAAACAACAATTCAATATGGCGTGGCGGCCAAGCATATGTTTTTATGCGTATTTTAATTATTTTGCTTGCAAATTTGATTTTGATTATTTAATAAAATATTTGTTGACTAGGTACGTAAACTCTTGAATCTGGCAGAAACTTTAGATATTTTGTTGTGTTTTTTGTACCATGTGTGTCCGCCACGCCATTTTGAATGTCACGTGGATTGGATTGTCTAACTACAAGTATTACGTCCGTTGAATGCATCCGGTGTTGCCAAATTTTAGCAGTTCCATGTGTTTTGTATTTTGAGATTATAATTGGCTTTTTTAAAATTCTTATTTTAACAATTGCTTTAAATAAATTATTGTAAATTGATTGTTTAATCTGTATAAACAGTCGTAAGTGTCCATTTCTTATTATTCTACAGTTTTAAAGAATTGTCTCAGTGTTGTTTTGAAATTTGCATCAGAAGATGAAAATTCTGAGCCAAAGTGATTTGAAGAATGCGCCAGGAGGCTCAGATTCTGATGCTACAATGGTATTCGTTGAGCCAAGTACAGATTCATATTTGAGGTGACTTTATTTACTCAGAAAAAGCTTCAGAGTAACTTCATATTGATTTGTTTCAGCTTCAAAAAGAAGAAGAAAAAGAAGAGGCAGATTTCAACAATGGAAATTGAAAATTCCATTTCTGGTACCCAAGAAAATGAAAGGTATTTTTGTATTCCTTTTGACACTTTGTACATCAATTGATTTGTACTTTTTTATAGTGAAAGTTTATTGAGCATGAACCCTGATTCTTGTAGTAAAAAAAAGAAGCGCAAGAACTCAGAAATTCTGAGCGTAATTGAAGATTCATTCACATCCATTAGCTCAACAAATGGCATAAAGAAAGACTCAGAAAATGTAATTGAAGATTCCTTTGTGTCCACTAGTTCATTGAATGGAAAAAAGAAGAAGCGCAAAAACTCAGAAATCAGCCAAACTGAGTCATCAGTTAGTGTAATTGAAGACTCATTTAAAAGCCAATCAATAATTATTGACTCAGATACTTCACCTGTTGTTAAAAAAAAGAAGAAAAAGAGGCAAAGGAATGATGACAGTCAATCAAATATTGACTCAGATAATTCATTTGATCCACAAACAAAGGAAATTGATTCAGATACAATTATTATTAAAAAAAAGGAGAAAAAGAGGCAAAAAAATGATTCAGAAAACAATGACAACCAATCAACTATTGACTCAGATAATTCATTTAATAAAAAAAAGAAGAAAAAGAGACAAAGGAATGATGACAGCCAATCAACTATTGACTCAGATCAGTCTACCATTGTTAAAAAAGAGAAGCATACTCACTCAGAAACAACTGACTCAGATCAGTCTACTTCTGTTAAGAAAAAAAAGAAAAAAAGGCAAAGAAGTTCAGATGAAATAATTGAACCTTCATTAATAAATATTGACTCTGATGGTTCATTTATTAGAAAAAAAAAGCACAAAGATTCAAGTTTTGATGAAGTTGAACCTTCATTATTGACTATTGACTCTTCTGGCTCATTTATTGCAAAAAAGAAGCACAAAAACTCAGAAGTTTTAGTAAATCAATTGGTTTCCAATGAAAATGAATCTTTACATGATTATGCAGATGAAAAAAAGAAACAAAAAAGCTCAGAAAATGTAGACTCAGATAGTTCAATTATTAGTAAGAAAAAGACAAACTCAGGTGCAAATCCAGACTCAGAAAAAATCAAGAATGAATCAGATGAGCCTAAGAAAATCAAGAGGACAATGAAAAGTGAAGAGATTTTTTCTGGAAATGATAGTTTTTACAATTCTACACCCAAAAAGCCTAAGAAAAGGAAAATCAAAGAAGAACAACTAAATAGGTGAGTTTTGCCTGCTTGTTTTTCTGAAAACTTAAAACTGAAATTTCAAATTCTTTCCAGTCCAAATGGGTTGAAGCAAGAAAATGTTGAGGAAATCGAATCTTTGGAAAACAAGCAAGAAAGATTGAGTGACACTTGCGAAGTTTTGGATGAATTGTTGAGCCAGGAAAATGGAGATGAAGTCAAGTTGGAGCGGTTTTCTCCCAGTCAGGAGTTTTCCAAGTAAGTTTGTTTTGAATTTTGTTGATCCATCAATGCCAAAGTTAGTTCATTTTATAGAAAATTCAATTGTAAAATTGTTCAAATGTCATTAATTTTCACTGGAAAAGTTGGAAATTTTAGTATAATGAGCTCCTAACTTTTCTTTTTCTCTCCTAAAAATTTCATAATTTTCTCTTGGATAGTTTTCCAGAAAAAAAATAAAATGTTAGAGAATGCATGTTTGCTTGATTTGGATTTCGCAAGTTGATTTTCATTGATTTCCTATGTTGTTAATTTTCACTGAAAAAGTTTGAAATTTCAGTATTATAAGCTCCTAACTTTTCTCTTTCTCTCCTGAAAATTTCATAATTTTCCCTTGGATAGTTTTCCAGAAAAAAAATAAAATGTTAGAGAATGCATGTTTGCTCAATTTGAATTTCGCAAGTTGATTTTCATAGATTTCCCATGTTGTTAATTTTCACTGAAAAAGTTTGAAATTTCAGTATTATGAGCTCCTAACTTTTCTCTTTCTCTCCTGAAAATTTCATAATTTTCCCTTGGATAGTTTCCCAGAAAAAAATAAAATGTTAGAGAATGCATGTTTGCTTAATTTGGATTTTGCAAGTTGAAATTCATTGATTTCCTATGTTGTTAATTTTCACTGAAAAAGTTTGAAATTTCAGTATTATGAGCTCCTAACTTTTCTCTTTCTCTCCTGAAAATTTCATAATTTTCCCTTGGATAGTTTCCCAGAAAAAAATAAAATGTTAGAGAATGCATGTTTGCTTAATTTGGATTTTGCAAGTTGAAATTCATTGATTTCCTATGTTGTTAATTTTCACTGAAAAAGTTTGAAATTTCAGTATTATGAGCTCCTAACTTTTCTCTTTCTCTCCTGAAAATTTCATAATTTTCCCTTGGATAGTTTCCCAGAAAAAAATAAAATGTTAGAGAATGCATGTTTGCTTAATTTGGATTTTGCAAGTTGAAATTCATTGATTTCCTATGTTGTTAATTTTCACTGAAAAAGTTTGAAATTTCAGTATTATAAGCTCCTAACTTTTCTCTTTCTCTCCTGAAAATTTCATAATTTTCCCTTGGATAGTTTTCCAGAAAAAAAATAAAATGTTAGAGAATGCATGTTTGCTCAATTTGAATTTCGCAAGTTGATTTTCATAGATTTCCCATGTTGTTCATTTTCACTGAAAAAGCTGGAAATTTCAGTATTATGAGCTCCTAACTTTTCTCTTTCTCTCCTGAAAATTTCATAATTTTCCCTTGGATAGTTTTCCAGAAAAAATAAAAATGTTAGAGAATGCATGTTTGCTTAATTTGGATTTTGCAAATTGATTTTCATTAATTTCCTACGTTGTTAATTTTCAGTGAAAAATTTTGAAATTTCAGTATTATAAGCTCCTAACTTTTCTCTTTCTCTCCTGAAAATTTCATAATTTTCCCTTGGATAGTTTTCCAGAAAAAAGAAAAATGTTAGAGAATGCATGTTTGCTTAATTTGGATTTTGCAAGTTGTTTTTCATTGATTTCCTATGTTGTTAATTTTCAGTGAAAAATTTTGAAATTTCAGTATTATAAGCTCCTAACTTTTCTCTTTCTCTCCTGAAAATTTCATAATTTTCCCTTGGATAGTTTTCCAGAAAAAAAATAAAATGTTAGAGAATGCATGTTTGCTTAATTTGGATTTTGCAAGTTGATTTTCATTGATTTCCTATGTTGTTAATTTTCAGTGAAAAATTTTGAAATTTCAGTATTATAAGCTCCTAACTTTTCTCTTTCTCTCCTGAAAATTTCATAATTTTCCCTTGGATAGTTTTCCAGAAAAAAAATTGTTAGAGAATGCATGTTTGCTTAATTTGAATTTCGCAAGTTGATTTTCATAGATTTCCCATGTTGTTAATTTTCACTGAAAAATTTTGAAATTTCAGTATTATAAGCTCCTAACTTTTCTCTTTCTCTCCTGAAAATTTCATAATTTTCCCTTGGATAGTTTCCCAGAAAAAAATAAAATGTTAGAGAATGCATGTTTGCTTAATTTGGATTTTGCAAGTTGATTTTCATTGATTTCCTATGTTGTTAATTTTCACTGAAAAAGCTGGAAATTTCAGTATTATGAGCTCCTAACTTTTCTCTTTCTCTCCTGAAAATTTCATAATTTTCCCTTGGATAGTTTTCCAGAAAAAAGAAAAATGTTAGAGAATGCATGTTTGCTTAATTTGGATTTCGCAAGTTGTTTTTCATTGATTTCTTATGTTGGTAATTTTCACTGAAAAAGTTTGAAATTTCAGTATTATGAGCTCCTAACTTTTCTCTTTCTCTCCTGAAAATTTCATAATTTTCCCTTGGATAGTTTTCCAGAAAAAAAATTGTTAGAGAATGCATGTTTGCTCAATTTGGATTTTGCAAATTGATTTTCATTGATTTCCTATGTTGTTAATTTTCAGTGAAAAATTTTGAAATTTCAGTATTATGAGCTCCTAACTTTTCTCTTTCTCTCCTGAAAATTTCATAATTTTCCCTTGGATAGTTTTCCAGAAAAAAAATAAAATGTTAGAGAATGCATGTTTGCTCAATTTGAATTTCGCAAGTTGATTTTCATAGATTTCCCATGTTGTTCATTTTCACTGAAAAAGCTGGAAATTTCAGTATTATGAGCTCCTAACTTTTCTCTTTCTCTCCTGAAAATTTCATAATTTTCCCTTGGATAGTTTCCCAGAAAAAAATAAAATGTTAGAGAATGCATGTTTGCTTAATTTGGATTTCGCAAGTTGATTTTCATTGATTTCCTATGTTGTTAATTTTCACTGAAAAAGCTGGAAATTTCAGTATTATGAGCTCCTAACTTTTCTCTTTTTCTCCTGAAAATTTCATAATTTTCCTTTGGATAGTTTTCGAGAAAAAAAAATAAAATGTTAGAGAATGCATGTTTGCTTGATTTGGATTTCGCAAGTTGATTTTCATTGATTTCCTATGTTGTTAATTTTCACTGAAAAAGTTTGAAATTTCAGTATTATAAGCTCCTAACTTTTCTCTTTCTCTCCTGAAAATTTCATAATTTTCCCTTGGATAGTTTTCCAGAAAAAAAATTGTTAGAGAATGCATGTTTGCTTAATTTGGATTTCGCAAGTTGTTTTTCATTGATTTCCTATGTTGTTAATTTTCACTGAAAAAGCTGGAAATTTCAGTATTATGAGCTCCTAACTTTTCTCTTTCTCTCCTGAAAATTTCATAATTTTCCTTTGGATAGTTTTCCAGAAAAAAAATTGTTAGAGAATGCATGTTTGCTTAATTTGGATTTCGCAAGTTGTTTTTCATTGATTTCTTATGTTGGTAATTTTCACTGAAAAAGTTTGAAATTTCAGTATTATGAGCTCCTAACTTTTCTCTTTCTCTCCTGAAAATTTCATAATTTTCCTTTGGATAGTTTCCCAGAAAAAAATAAAATGTTAGAGAATGCATGTTTGCTTAATTTGGATTTCGCAAATTGATTTTCATTAATTTCCTACGTTGTTAATTTTCAGTGAAAAATTTTGAAATTTCAGTATTATAAGCTCCTAACTTTTCTCCTTCTCTCCTGAAAATTTCATAATTTTCCCTTGGATAGTTTTCCAGAAAAAAGAAAAATGTTAGAGAATGCATGTTTGCTTAATTTGGATTTTGCAAGTTGTTTTCCATTGATTTCTTATGTTGGTAATTTTCACTGAAAAATTTTGAAATTTCAGTATTATAAGCTCCTAACTTTTCTCTTTCTCTCCTGAAAATTTCATAATTTTCCCTTGGATAGTTTCCCAGAAAAAAATAAAATGTTAGAGAATGCATGTTTGCTTAATTTGAATTTCGCAAGTTGATTTTCATAGATTTCCCATGTTGTTAATTTTCACTGAAAAATTTTGAAATTTCAGTATTATAAGCTCCTAACTTTTTTCTGTCTCTCCTGAAAATTTCATAATTTTCCCTTGGATAGTTTTTCGAAAAAATAAATAAAATATAATGCATGCATGCATTGTTGCTTGAAGGCCATTTTTCATCGAATCAATTTGAAATTTCAGTAGGTATGATGAGCTTCTTTTTTTCTTCTTTTTACTCAAAAAGTATCATAGTTATCCCATCAATAGTTTTTCGAAACATCAACAAAATGTGAAAGAGTGCACATCTTTTAATTATTGTAAAGGTTGGCAACTGTAAATAGAGCTTTTCGGTTTGAAGTGAAGGGAGAAGGAAAAACGATATGGAAATACATAGTTGCAGTGGAATAGAGCGTAATAGAAATATTAATTCGCATATTTGTTGTTGTTCAATTTTCACTGTTCACACATTATTATTATTATTGGCTCTGAATTTATTTTGGAATTCTGACATGGGCATGAATAATTGACAATATTTCGGATAATATTCAAACAACATTAAATGATCTTTGGTGATTGGTAGCTCAAACAGTCCCTAAGTTATTCAGCCTTAAATTATTTCCAGAGAAAACTCTCAAGTGCATCAAGAATCCATCAACCGAGAAAAAACAACAGTGAAGGATGAATCAATTGACGATTTCCAATTAAAGGTAACAGTTTTTCTTTAGGTGCAAACAATAAATCTTTGTTTTCCTAGTTGGCAGTATCTGAATTATCCAAAGACATTGACTTTGAGATTCCTCAACTCCACAAAATACTCAATAGAGCCTCAAAGCCTAATCCAGCTCAAAGAGCTCTTATAAAAGCCAAAGGCCTCAAGGCAAAACAAGGCAAATTCACTAGTGACGAAGACAGAAAAGTCATTGACAATTGGGAGGAAATAGTCAAAGTAATTATGTGAAAACTTTTTATTTATTTTGAGCTCAATTTGAATTTTAGATGACCGGTATTGAAGACAGGCCTCAGCTTTTCTTTTGCATGAGAAACTCTAGGATACCACCTTTGGCCAAACAAAACTTTTTGTATTATTTGAGCAGGAATTTACCTGATAGGACTCCTTGTAGTGTTTTCAATAGATTTAAGCTATTGATGGCTAATGTTAAGAAAGGACGGTAAGTAAGTGATTGTGATTACTGACCCTGTAAGAAATTATCTGTATTAAACAAAAAGCAGTGTTTTATAGAAATTTTGTCTTATTGTATTTTTCAATTATTCAAAAAAAAAAAAGAAGATTAAATAAACTTACTCACAAGAAGACTCAATGTGTGGATCAAGGACCCCAAGTCCAAGTAAATCCCAATTCTTCCCCTTGTAACAAATTTTAAACCCCCAAAAATTCTTTTGTAGATTCTCCCAAGAAGAAGACGACTACATAAAGTCAATAATTTCCACTACAACCACATCAAATCGGCCCGTAAAAGAAATGGCCGAGCACTTAAAACGCACCCGATTGTCAATCGAGCATCGCATCTTAAAACTGCTAAAAAGCCACAATAGGAAGATAAAATGGCGCAAAAATAATGCGGCAGCGTTTATTAAATACTTGCTCAGAGGTACTGAGTGTTCTGAGGTGGAGGATCTCAGAAATCGCCCCATTACAAAACTGGAATGGAATTATTTATCAAAAAAATTAGATGGTGTTCCAGTGAGGATTTTAGTAAGGGTTTGGAAGGAGAAACTACACCCTGCCTTGTTCATTCGACACGATCAATTAGATTTAAGAAAAGTCAAAATGAAGCTAATTGAAATGTAATTGAGTATTGATTCTAATTGGTTGCCATTTTGCTTATACAAAATTTTAGGTTTAAAGAAAACAATGAAACAGAGTGGAAAAGAGTCAACTGGCGTCGTTATGCTTCAAAATTCAAAGGCTTGACAGTTTTGAGGGTTTATTCGTTAATAAAGCAAGCTGTTACTGCTTACGTGCCCAAAGAGAAAAGGGGGAATTTGAAAAGTAAGCAGCAACTACTTAATAATATAAAATGTTTTATTGTGAGAGTTTTAGAATGCATTAAAATACTTAGTAAGATGCCTGAAGATAATTTACATAAGCATGTTTTATATAAAATGGTTTACCAAGATGGTGCGGTAAGGGAACTTAGAGAAAACACAAAAGGAAAGTAAGTATGTAATAGTTGGTTTACATACTTTATACAAATTATATAATATGTATATTTTTCCAAAAAAAATATTTTTTATTTGTTGCTCCTTTGGTAAAAAGTCCACATTTTCATTGCAGAAATGTTTTTTTGTAGCTTTGGACATTGAATTTTGTATAAAAATACAATCTATAGAACTACAGTCAAGGTAAGTGAAAATTATCACTTTTCAAGATCAATTTTTGTCTATTACCGGCTCTTGAATTTATCAAAATGAAGAAAATTTAAAAACCTGTAATAAAAACATAAATGTCCTCCAAGCAAAAATGGATCCTCTTTTTTCTGGAAAACTAATTGGGTATATTGAGGCAGTGCCAGCGGCTTAGCTCAGCAGGAACTTTATTCTCGAAACCAAGGAACAGCCCTCTCATTGGAACGAAGATTCTGTCTTTGTCAGTAACACTGACAATGACAGAGTAATCGTTCTTATGAAAATGCTGTTCCTTGGTTTCGAGAATAAAGTTCCTGCTTAGAGGCTGAGCTAAACCGCTGGGACCGCCTGAATGTACCCATTGTCTAAGGGTGTCTCATTTTAAATAAACAAGTTGACGTCTACCTATTTCCGTTATAACCGGAAGTGCCACCATTTTGAAAATATGGTTGCCCCTATTGACAATAGTTTAGTGCTAAGGAGTAGAAACGCGCCATTCTGCTTATGAAACTAAAGTGAAGCCAAGTTTTTGGCAGGTGTTTAGCACCAGAATACAGGTAAAGCATTGAATTTTCTATCCTATACAGTTTTTCATAGTATTATACAGGGTGTGCCTGAGACAATTTAATACATAGCAACTTTTTTCTTTTTCGCCAATTTTGCCCTGTATATCCGTTTATGACAGATTATTTGTAAATGTGAGCACTTAGCTACTTTTGGGTGCCACCCTTTGAGCGCTCCCGAGTTACTCTGAAGTACTCCGGTTACAGTTTGACCCATTAACCCTTTTCACATGGCTCCGGTTTAACTAACTGCAACATACCGCTCAAATTCGAGTGATAGGTATCCATCACGTCACTTTGTAACCGGGTTAAAAAACGATAATATGTTATTTCTCTAACCGTTTTGTAACCCGGTTAGTTAAACCGGAGCCACGTGAAAAGAACTATTCGGTTTTAAGCGTTCGAGTGCAAAACGCATGCCGTATGACAGATGACAGGTGTGAAGTGTTCTAGGAGCACCCGAAAGCGGCTCTTGGTCTTGATTGCGCAACTTTTTTCTCATTCGGTTCACCCTGTATCTTCAATGGTCTCTAAAATTCTCATGTATTCTCTGTATAGAACGATCTGGTTCTCATTGAGGTGGGACACAAAGTTCCTAAAGTTCATAGTTATAATAGGTTGTCTGGTAATAGATAACTTGATGACGTATCTGGAATGCCTTATGGAGATTTACATTATGTTTAGGCATCATAAAAGTTATCAGGCAACTTCCTTTCAAAAATTCTTGACCCTATATTATATTCTCAAGTAAACCGAGTACGTTTGGCAAGGTTGCATTCTGAATTTTCCAAATGAAGTTAGCGTTGTTTTTTTCGAGAATTTTCCAATATTCAAGGGCGACAAAGTGCTGTGGTGAGACATTTTTGAAGAAATTACCATTTTTTTTGAAAGAAAAAATCACCAAGGTAATCAAAAATTAACATGGACTGTCACATTAGCTAACTTCACGCAAAAACATCAAAGTAGGTTTTGGATCAAGGTTGTTTGAAAAAGGTAGGTGGCCTGATAAGTTTTATGACGTCATCCAGAGTGCTTATAAACATAAATCAAATCTGCATAAGGCGTCTTGTGACGTCATGAGTTTGAACGCTGACTTGAAGTCGCGTCCACGCTTCCAGCGAACTACGTTTAATATGACGTCATGAGTTTTTCGCGAAAGCGCTTGTGTTTATAAAAGCATGCAAGTAATTCGTCGCGAAAATTCGGTTATAATGCAAATCTCTAGATGATGTCATCGGTTTCCCATTACAAGATAACCTATTAACTTTGGAAACCCTGGCTTTGGATGGTCATTTCAAAATGGTTGACCTGTCACAAGGAGATATACACTCTAAAGCCTAGTACTCATAACTGCGGAATTTGCACTTTTTTGACATTGCTTCGACAAATTGACGTTTCATGCGTGAATCAAACGTCAAATTGTCGAAGCAATGTCAAAAAAATGCGAATTTCGCAGTTATGAGTACTAGGCTTATAAAGGAGTGCTTATCGGCCTCGTTTTTGGTAATCGTCGCCATATTGGTTTGCCGACGTCATAACTAAGTCGTTAGCTGTTTAAAGAGTCTACGTCAAGGCGAGAAACGCCATGCTGCTTACGTCACAACTGGTTGTTTGGCGTTTGGGGGGTAGGGGGGGATTTGTTACACACAGGCCTTATGAGAATAAGCCATCCTGTACTAGTAGTGTGTATCATCCTTGGACTTGTCAAAACATAAATTCAATATGGCGGCAACGGTCAAACATTTGAGATGTGTGTTTTTGTTTATTATCCTTCTCGAGCTATAGAAAATCCCCTTGAAACTCCACAAAATTACACACAGTTTTATGATCTATGATCACGAAACGTTGTGAAAGTAAATGAAGTAAATTTGATTTTTCAGCAAGAAAAATGAAGATTATCCATTAGCTAACTTCACGTTTCAACAACGTCAAATTAGGCCTTGGGCGGCCATTTTAAAATTGAGTTTTTTTAACAAAAATTGTATTTTGCTCTGGTTTTCCTCGAATATTGCCCGATTTTCAGTGGATTTTAGTGCGGGAAAGTGTTTTTGAAAAATTTTCTCGTGATGTGGGGCTTTGAACTTACTACAAATAGCAGGAAAATGGTAATTTCCCTAAGAGAACATCGTCAAGGTAAGCAAAAATTATCATAAGCGGCCATTATTTTTACAGGTAGCTGTAATTTCAGTTCAGTTTTCCACGGATATTTTTTTGGTTTTTAGCACATTCTAGTGCGGAAAAATGTTCTAGAACATTCCTTATGAGCAAAAGTTTACACACATGTTTGTACCGAGTATTTTTACTCTAGTATTTAGTATTTCCATGTTTTTTTAACTAATTTTAGTGCGGAAAAGTATTTTTTCAACGTTCCTTGTAGTGTAGAGCATATAATTTTCTATACAAAAGAAAGTAACGTCCAATCACAGGTGAACTACGAGAGAGGGAGGAAGAATGTATATATTTTGGTGAATAAAAATTTTCATAGGTGGCTATATTAGCTAATTATACGTTTCAGAAATATCAACGTAGGTCTTGGGCGGCCATTTTTAAATTGTGTTTTTCAATAAAACTGGCTCTTGTTTTTCAAGGATAATTCGCACTGCTATTACAGGATAGCTTATCCTCGTAAGGTCTTTGTAGATCAAATGTCAAGCCTCCATCACGCCAAAAAACTTGTGATGACGTAGATAACGTATTTTTGCGTTTGCACAAGTTATGATGACTCAGTTGATGACGTCGTCAATGGTGTTACAATATGGACTTGATTCCCAAAACCGAAGCCAATAAGCAATTTTGTGTACTAGTGTCTTTGCTGGTTTTTCTCGAATATTCTCCGATTCTCAGTAGATTTTAGAGCGGGAAAACGTCTTGAAATGGTCTTTTTTGGCAAGAATATGGCGGCAGGGGTGTGGCTAACTTATAATATAACCACAAATATAACTATATGCACAACTCGCAAGTACTCCATGGAGATTTGCAGGAGACGTCACCACTATACAATGAACTAAACAAACACACTGGAACGGTGGCTGCATAATGTTTCTTACGCTAGGGTTTGTGCCAGGAAGGACAACAGACAAGTGGGATTTGCATCTCTCTCTGCATTATGGCGGCTATTGAGAACCAGCTGTTTGAAGTGTTTGGATCATTGAGATTAGGAAGATGAAGAAGTTCTTCTTTTTTTTTACGTTGATCGCAATGAGTGCGAGCGACAATAATCCCTCTGTATTGCTGGGTTGCATATATCAAAATTCGGTATAGGAGTGCGCTCATTCCAGAGTATTTGTTTAGTTTACAGTGGCTAAATAAACCTTTATATACAGTGGCGACAATAGAGGTCCCGCCACCATCTTGTTCCCAGCCTCTTGTTACTTTTAAATATTAATATTTAGGATTTAAATGGACATCTATCATAAAAAATTGAAATCGACGTATTTGATGACCATTATTAGGTCCATCAAATACGTTGTTTTCCATGATTTATGATGGATATTCACCTAAATCTCGTAGTATTCATATTTAAAAGTAACAAGAGGTTGGGAACAAGATGGCGGCGTTTTCAATATAAATATATGGGATTCTAGAACCAATCAAAAATAAGACAGCAATTGTCGCCACTGTGGTAATAGAGTCACTGTAGTTTAGTTCAATGCCACTATAAGCTGCTGATAATGATAATGGTGACTTCATTCGTAGGCTTGCCGACTCGAAAATTAACGAACATGCGTCTTATGAGGATGAGCAATCAATCCTGTTTAAAATTTAAAACGGCCATTACAGAAAAATTTATGTTTCTATAATTTGTGGTTTATTTTTTTTTGGATTTCTCTGCCTATCTGCAACAACTTTAATAATCATAATAATTACTATTAAAAAATAAATTTTTGTGTTTTCGATCAGTGATGACATAACAGCGTGTCGTTTCTCGCCTTGACGTAGTGCTTGCACCACGGATTAGGTGTTTTCTCGCATCTCAAAGTTTTGAAACATTTTCCAGAACTGGTTTAAATCAGTTTCACAATGACGTCATAATTTCTCGGCACGAGGAAATGGTTTTAAAATGTGGATTGGATTGTATTTCGAAACGGTTTAGAACCATAGTAGGTACATTTTTTAATATTCTAAAACAACCCTTGTTTAGATCTCATTTGCATCTTCCTTTTGTCTATTGACTATTATGTTAATCAAATTTAATTTATATTTTTCATCATACATGTATATTCTTAACTATGAACGCAAACCGCTAACGAGACCGTTGATGACGTCAGCAACGGTGCAACACCATATGAATTTGAATCCAAACAATCCTGTGGTAGTATAGTATGTAAAATCCTTGGTGTTGGTGTAGCCGTGTAGCCTAGCCGAATTCAGAAATGCGCACTGTCCAATGTCCAACGCTCTGTTTTTAAAAGTGTTAATTTTAATATGATAGAACCAAACAGCAAACAACTTAATTTATAAAATCTTGGAACCGAAAAATACCGGTAAGAACCGATTAATTTATATCGGTTCCGGTTCTGCCTGTCCTACAACATTTCTATGGAATATGGGTTTTGTTCCGGTTCCGGTCCGCAAAAAAAAAACGGTTTCGTTTCGGTTTTCGGTCCAATATCGTTCCGATCAGGGGTCCCTGACTGTAATATTACCTAACTTCACCTTTCAAAATAAAAATCAAAGTAGGCTTTGAGTGGTCATTTTCAAATTGTGTTTTTTTTTACAAAGATGGCCGTTGTAGTACATATTATATTACTTTGGTTTTTATCAAAAATTTCCCGATTTTAGTGCGGAAAAGTGTCTCAAAGTGGGCTTTATAGTGCAAGGTATTGGATTTTCCATAATCGGCACGGTAATTTTCAAATAAAATGTCAGGAAACTGTAATAGCCAACTTCACATTTTAAAAACGTCAAAGCAGGCTTTGGGCGGTCATTTTGAAATTACTTTTTGTACAAAATGTCTGGTTTTTGGAGTCTTGTCTCTGGTTTTTCTTGAATATTTTCCGATTTTCTGTGAAATTTATTACGGAAAAGTGTTTCAAGACGTTCCTTATAGTGCGGGCCATTGAATTTTTCATATTTGGTAAAGATATAATCAAAGAAAATTTCAGTGATGGCATCTCATAGAGTTTCAGTTCAAGGTAAGTGAAAATTATCATATGCCTATTAGGCATAGGCATTATTATTCTTAAGTCACCAACAGTCGTAGATAAAATGTTGTATATTACGCGATTACACTTGCGCCCGATATAAGTACATGACTTTTCTTATATAAAATAAAGAAGAAATAAAGGCATCGTCGCATGTCAAACTTTCAAAGCGAAGTTAGCTACGTAGAATATTTTTAGAATCGCGTTTATTTTTCGGGAAATTTACCAATTTTCAGGCAATAAAGTATTTTCAATATGAAATTTCCATTTTTCAAAAAAAATTATCGATATTATCGCCCAAAACTAATCGAAAATAATTGACATCTAGCTAACTTCACGTTGCAAAAACATCACCACAAATAGGCTTTGGACGGCCATTTTTTTTTTTTTTGCAAATAAAAACAAGAATTTTACAAGAAAATCATTTCTTATTGAAAATAGAAGCCTTTTGGAACGAGAAAACATTCAAACGTGACCCAACCAAGGTAAATGGCAACGTAGCATTTTGTCATTTAATAGCGATTTTCATAAGTTTATCTATCCTTATATTTCACATGCTTTTAGAAAGAGATGCGGATACACTCGGTGCGCTCTGATTTCTGACTGACAACGTTGCATTTTTACACTGTTGCCAATTCAATAAGGAGGAGGGCAAAACAACAAAATTCAATTATTTATTTTTCTGACAGTTCGCTACAGTAATCGCAGTGGTACGGTTCTCCTGTTAAAATAAAAGTTCTTTCCGATAAAAATGTTTATAAAAGTTACAAAAATCGTAATTCTATGAGTAAAATCGTTTTAGTGTAGTGTGTATTCCAAATGAATAGAAATCATGTAAACCATCATCAAGACCACAACATGGACTCAGGTTTGGGTAGCGACGATGACCGCAGAGGAAACTCTAGAACCACCAAAGAGCAAAAGCAACTGCACAACCAGCAACTGGTAAGCGGTTGTTTTATAGACGCTGCTTCCTTAAGCGACGACCAAGAGCCCCAAGAAGTTGCTGAACGACGTCAAGGAGCCTTAATATTCCAATCCTCGATACCCCAATTTTCAATGTTACAAATAGAAGAGGCTGCTTGTCAGTATCCGGAAGAAACCAACACTCCGTTTAATTCAATAGTTCATGAAGATGTTGAAGGTGGTAGTAGTAGAAATAATAATAATAATATAGGATTTTATGTTGATTTAAGTCAGGTGGCTGATACTGATGCTGATACTCCTAAAACGCCTTTGCAAACTAAAAACATTTTTTCTATGGTGATTGATTTTGAGGGCCCCAAAAAGGACAAGCCTACAAAGCTTAGTTCGCATTTAAAAAAGCCTTTGAGACCTAAAACTATTGGCAAAGGGAGCAGCTTGTCTTCAAGTCTTAGTTCAGTTAATTCGCCTTGTATGGCTAGCACTAGTAGGCAAAGTGAAGAAGAGATTCCCAAAAACCACCCCTTATCGCAAAGCATTGCAGTCCTAAGTGCTTCACTAGTGAAAAATTTGTCAAAGTCTTCCAGCAGTGAGGATAATGTTGTCGAAGAAGAAGAATTATGTAATAATGACTCAGAAAGTGCCCCAATTGACTCAGAATTAAATGAAGTGCAAAATGAAGAGCTGAAGAGTGCTGCTGAGCCACAACAACAGGTAAGAAAATAATTAATTAATTTCCTGTTCCTTGTATTGTAATTAACAAAGCATTCATTACTATGAGGGGTCAAGGATTGTGTATCGAATTCTATATAGGAAACCTTTCAAGTTTTAAAATGGATATGGGTAATCTTGCCTTATATAGAATGGTATTATGATGTCATGATTAGAATGGTAATAATTATTGGCAAAATTTAAAAAAAAAAAAATATCAATCAAATATTTACATGTAAAAGTTTATCAACATTAAAACAAAACATAAATTATAATAGGAATTAGTCATCTTCATAAAATATAATGTAAATATTATCAGACAACGCAAGCAATTAATTTAATAATAAATAAGTATTCAACAGTGTAAGAAGTAAAGTTGAATTAAATAGCAACAAATAATACAAAATGATAATTTTTACAGGTTTGCCTCATAATATGTATAAATATTAACTGATTGATTTTTCCATGATGAGTTTTTAATTGTGAAATGGTAAGTTGATTAAATCTAAAATGGAAAGTAATTTCAATGCCTTTTTGTGCAAATACTCAAGATACAAATTTCACTCACTTAAATCCATTTAGTTAGTATAGAAATCAGTGGCAATAATAATTTCTCTTGCCTATTAATAATTGATAAATAATAGTGGCCCACCCATTATCGACATTGAATAAACTTTGTAAGTATTACAATTATTATTAATAAGGTATCTGGACTGTAACATTTTGGCAAAGTGAAAGTTGATCTTGGACTATTAAAATAATTGTAATTATTTGTCCTTAAAGCCAATTATCAATGGACATAAAATATTCATATTTATTTTGCTACTTCAAATAATTTGATTTGAAAAATGTTTATTATTTTGGTAGTTGATAAAAGTCTGGTGAACTTTGTAGGAGAAATTCCACTTGTTTGTTTTTGATAATTATTTCAATTTACAATCGTAGATCCTGGTCCTCATTCTCCAAACTAGAAATGAGAAAAAATGCCTGGTCTTTGTCTATTCTATTTGTATTTGCATATATAACACTGACAAAGATAGTACAATCAATCTCATGAAAACACTGACCATGATTTTGAAGGTTTTTGTGGTCAAGAATGTAAAAATAAATCGATTAGTGTAGGTGGTATTTTCAGTGAATTTTGGTCCATTAAAGAATTTGTCATATTTTCATTAGTCACTGTTTTTATGTTTCTTTTTTTATTTCTTTAAAGTCTGTTTTTTAATAGTGGAGTTAGTTTTAAGTCCAGACTCTAGAGTAAACATGTTCAATTGCAATGTTTACCCTAGAGTTATACCAAAAAGCAACCCATTATAAGAGAAATTTATGAAAAATTGAACCGGTCTAAAGTTAGTAGCCAAAACTTGTTAGCAACGCCCATAAATACAATAAAGGCAAAAAATTATAGGTACTTAAACATCGATTCTAGCCATAGAGTACTATTTTAACACCTTTTCCAATCCGTATGCAAAATCCCATTGATTTATTATAAACTCTGTTGAAATGTGAAAAATACTAAAAACTCAATTTCAGTTTATTAGTAGTTTTTCATATTTCGATGGGGTTTGAGACAATGGGGGTTGAAAATCGAGTTGGAAATGATGTTAAAATAGTTCTTAAGGGGTAAATCACCCTAAAAAATGTGTACACTAGAATCCCAACTTCCAGGATTTATGAATTGAAGTTTTCTCTTTGTAAAAAAGTTAAATGGAAATTGATATGAAACTCCAAATTAAATTTAGAAACTATTTCTCATGTTAATTTAGTGTATGGAGTTTGAGGGATCCCAAATGACCATTAAGACACAAAGTTTCAACAAAAAAAAATTTGAAATTTCATCGTTTTAGTAAGAAGATACCAAGGAAGATACCTACTTTATGATTTAGATTTTGGAAAACTTTGAAAGGTCATTTGCACTTATAGTTCCTGAGATAAAATTGTGTTAAGCAATTTGGGGTGATTTATCAATTTTTCAATTTTTCTGAGTGCCTTTTTTCATAGATTTCGGCTTCAAATCTGAGAATAATTTTGTGTATAGAGTTCAGGGTATCACGAGGGACCAGTAGGACACAAAATCTCGACAAATCGAAATTTTGTCATTTTAGTAAGAAGGAAAACTTTCAAAAGTCGTAACTTTTTTTCTATTATAGATAGAAAGCTGAATCTATCACTGAATTTTATGCCTTTCAAAGGACTACAATCTCTGAAAATTTCAGCTCATTTGCACTTATATTTCCTGAAATAAAATTGTGTTAAGCAATTGGGGTGATTTATCAATTTTTCAATTTTTTTGAGTACCTTTTTTCATAAATTTCGGCTTTAAATCTGAGAATAATTTAGTGTATGGGGTTTGGGGGATGTTGATTGATAAAATCTCGACAAAAAAAAAATTTGAAATTTTATCTTTTTAGTAAGAAGGTACCTACTTAACTTATGATTTAGATTTTGGAAAACTTTGAAAGGTCATAACTTTCATTATAGACAGAAAGCTGAAACTTTCACTGCATTTTATCCCAATGAAGGGACTACAACCCCTGAAAATTTCATCTCATTTGGATTTATAGTTCCTGAGATAAAATCGTGGAAAGCAATTTAGGGTGATTTATTAATTATTCAATTTTTCTGAGTGCCTTTTTTCATAGAATCCGGCTCTAAATCTTAGAATAATTTAGTGTATGGAGTTTGAGGGATCCCAAAGGTATTCTCATAGTTTTTTGGATATTTCCGTTAAATTGGCTGTCAAGTATTAGCTACTAACTATAGGTACACCAGTAAAAATTGATAATGTCCTTTTCTATTCCAGGCTCTTAAATTTTCCCTATTCTCTTTCAAAAAGAAAACAACAATTCAAGAGCCTGGAATAATGAAAAATTGTCACTTTATTGGCAACAATGTGACATTAAAATTTTAAAATAACGTTGAGCGCCTTTTTTGCTTAATTTGGTGTTTTTTTTTTCTGTAATCTTATTCATTCAAACTTCTGGGGCCCTTTTTTTAGTCTAGTTCACGAGTGCACTAGATTTTAGAAAAAACAAACAAAGTGGCAACACTGATTATTACCCAAAAAATTGACGTAGGCCTTGTTTTCTTTGACAGTTTGGTAATTTTCTTTCAGGCTTCTTGTCCCCAATTTGTCAAACTCTCCGATTTAGCAGAATGCCACCAGAAACCTCTGGCATCGACTCGGATCGACGCAGTAACCTTCGCCGCACCGCGCATGAGCAGAAGTATACCAGAAAGTCATTGGGTGGAAACCGCCTTTTTGATGTCCCGATCCGCTTGCTATAGAAGCGCGCCTCATCCTATTGAACCGGAAACTGTCAGCGGTTCTGACAGCGAAAGTGCCATAATAACTAATAATCACAGGTAAGAATTTTAAATTAAACATGTGGCAACGTTGCTTTAGCGTAATGGTTAAATAAGCTGGGTTGCATTTAGAAATAGCACTCTGGGAGTGAGAATGACCCTAGAGTAATTCTAAATTGTTCGACAATTTCACGTTTGATTCATGCATAAAACGTCAATTTGTCGAAACAATGTCAAAAAAGTGCGAATTTTGTAGTTATGAGTACTGTAGAATTGACGTGCCTAGAGTGCGCGCAAATTACTCCACTCAGAGACTGGGTTGAAAAACGCCAACAAGTAGGCAATCTAAACCATGTGACTTTTGCCAATTAGCTCATCCAAAACACGTGACTTTGACAAGCAAACAAAGAGTTTGTGTGCCTCTTGGCGGACATTTTAATTTAAGTTTGACAGCACCTTGAGTAGTCAGCCTATCCAAAACACGTCACTTTGACAAGCAAACAAACGGTTTGTGTGCCGCTTGGTGGACATTTTAATTTAAGTTTGACAGCATCTTGGATAGTCTAATAAGCTGGCATTTTGAAATTTTTATAAGGTTAGAATAATGTCAAAAAAGTGTCAGATTTCCTTATGTCAGCATTGTCAGCAAAGGCTGAGTTCAGAAAATAGCTCTAAAACTACATTTTCAACAGTTTTCAATTTCAATTTATGTGTATTGATAATTCTACCAAGAAAAAACATATGTTTTTCGTTTATTCTGTGCCAACCAACCGCCATTTTTGACAGGTCGTTGGATTGACTAATTGGTTTTTACCGGGTTTGACGGGATTCATGATATTGACATTCACTGCAACGCCTCAATATGTTCAGAAATAGCGCACAGTGCACTCCAAGTGATGACGTCAGGACACTCTGAGAAACAATTAAGGAACATTTACATTCAGTTCGAACTTCAAGTTAAATTTGACATTTTATATTTTATCATTTATATTGCAGAACAAAAACGTCGAAATTTTATGAGAATCCAATGAATAATCTAAAAATTTGACATTTCCCAAATTTGTGCTTGCCCTCGGCAAGCAGCTCGCCCAAATTTAAAGTGCACTTCAAAGTGAACTTTTATTTCAATATAAATGGATCTGTGCTGTCGCCATATGGCAAGCACGTCAATTTCAAGACAAATTGGACTTTGAAGTGAATGTAAATGCACCACTACTCTACCTTCATACTCCATTTTTAAATGCACTTCTGTAATTAAACAAAAAACTGGTACAAGTGGGTATTTTTTAACTTTGCTAAATGTGAATCTATCTTAACACCAAAAGTTCCTTATGAAAAACTTTAGGTCAGACAGTAGAAGCTTGAAGTTAGACAAAATACATTAACGCTAACATAAGATTTGACAGCTGCGCATGCGCAGTTTTATTTCACCAAAAATAGCGTGTTACGTTATTTAGCGGGTTTTTGCGTGTACCTTATCCGTAAACGTTCGTTAAACCGAGTGGGGCCGAAAGCCAGATTGCCGGTGTCGACCTTTGCCGAATGTATTTTAACCTTAAAAAAAAGTTGTCACGTAATTCAAAATACAAAAAATTATTTCTAATTTGTCCTTTTCAAAAATCGCGTAAGTAGGCTTTGGATTTTTTTTTTTTTTGGCAGTTGGTACTGTCATGGCGGCTTTTGGTGTTGTTCTTTGTCCACGTTTCAGGTTTTTCGCATAATTTTGGGGTTTTTTGAACGGATTAACTAAAAAAAAGTGTCTCAAAATGTTTATTGAAGTGTTTTGCGTCGAAAATACACAAAATTTCAGGTCGGGCCATTTTTTTTTTAAATTGAAAACTGGTAGGTAAGTTGCAAAATTGATTGTAAAATCTTTAAAAGAAATTGGGGTTTTTGGCCTTTTACGTAGGATTTGGGACCAATGTGTTTGTAGGGAATTCAATTGGCTTCATTTTCAGCTTAATTTCATCAAAATTGGTTGAAAATTGAAAAAGTTGTGAGCCAAAATGTCAATCCATGTCAAAATTTTGAAAAAAAAAACACGATATTTTATTGAATTTTGACACTTGACATTTGATTGAAATTAGAGAAAAAAAGTTAAAATCTATTCATATTCACTTGTTTATTTAATGTTAATGCTAATTATTCAATTTTCATTATTATATTAAAATATTGATGTGACAACACTGTAAAATGGGGCAAGTAGGCTTTGGAATTATTTTCTTTTTGGCAGTTGGTACTGTCATGGCGGCTTTTGATGTTGTTTGGGGCCTACGTTTCAGGTTTTTTTGCATAATTTTGGGTTTTTTGTACGATTCTACTAAAAAAAAGTGTCTTAAAATGTTTATTGAAATGTTTTGCGTCGAAAATACACAAAATTTCAGGCCGGGCCATTTTTTTTTTAAATTGAAAACTGGTAGGTAAGTTGCAAAATTGATTGTAAAATCTTTAAAAGAAATTGGGGTTTTTGGCCTTTTACGTAGGATTTGGGACCAATGTGTTTGTAGGGAATTCAATTGGCTTCATTTTCAGCTTAATTTCATCAAAATTGGTTGAAAATTGAAAAAGTTGTGAGCCAAAATGTCAATCCATGTCAAAATTTTGAAAAAAAAAACACGATATTTTATTGAATTTTGACACTTGACATTTGATTGAAATTAGAGAAAAAAAGTTAAAATCTATTCATATTCACTTGTTTATTTAATGTTAATGCTAATTATTCAATTTTCATTATTATATTAAAATATTGATGTGACAACACTGTAAAATGGGGCAAGTAGGCTTTGGAATTATTTTCTTTTTGGCAGTTGGTACTGTCATGGCGGCTTTTGATGTTGTTTTTTGTTCACGTTTCAGGTTTTTCGCATAATTTTGGGGTTTTTTGAACGGGTTAACTAAAAAAAAGTGTCTTAAAATGTTTATTGAAGTGTTTTGTGTCGAAAATACATAAAATTTCCGGCCGGGCCATTGATTTATATTGAAAACTGATAAGTTGCAGGTTTTTTCGCATTTTTTTCATCAGTTGGTATTGTTATGGCGACTTTTGAACAAACTCAAAAATGTCAATGTCAAACGCGTAGTGCTTGTGTATTTATATTGAAATGAATTGCCAAAGAGCGTTTTTGAAAAGAAAATTCCAAATAAATTAATTTGTCGTAAATAAATTAGAGTCTATTACTCGCGATAATAGAGAGTTCTCGTGCAGTTTAAATTTCAAATACCGTAACGCTATTTGACAAGTATGACAGTTCCTACGGCATTAGCGTTAGCGGAGCCCGCTATCTAAGGGGAGTTAGCGGATGCCTTACCGTAACGCTATGCTATGTCAAAACTGGTTTACGCTCCATTTATGTCTGCAAAAACAGCAACTTCTAATAATGTCTCTATAAGAACACCAAGGGAAAATTAATCAAGCTTAGGAATCTTCAGGATAAATGAAAGTTAGAAAACAAGCAAAAAAAAGTTGGGTTAGATCACTCAACTTAGCTGTCAAAATGTGAACCGAATAAAGGATTAGGGATTAGAGAATTTTTGTGTCTTCGTGTTTAAACGTCAATGTCGATTATCAAATGTATTTGCGGCGGCAAAATATCGATTTACACAATAGAAAAATGTATATGATTGGCCAAGTGTATGCGCATTGATATGTATAATAAGGTATTGAGTGCAAGCTTTCAAGATTTTACACATTTCTGTAATTTTACAATAGGACAGTGTTGTCAGTTTGTTGAGTATTACAGCAATAAATAGAAGTATTTTATTTAAATTTTACAGTTAGTCAAATATTGAGGCTTTTTCTTATGTATTTTCTTTAGTAGTAAAATAATAACTTCACAACTTCTTATGTAAATATTTATTTTATTATTTAACAACAATTTAATTTTATTTGCTGACAAGTGTGCACCGATCAATTTCATCGAATTTTTCAAGGCCTCGTTTGCATAATCAATTTTAGAGAATTATACTTACAAATGAGATTTTTACCAAGAATTTTTCAACACAGTTTGCACTGATTTCAGATAATTCTAAACTTGTAAAGGCCGGAAATTCATTGTCCTCCAATGGTAATTAGGGTCATTGGTTTTGCTGAAAAATCTATGGAAATAATCGTCAATGTCAGACATAGAAATTGTTGGCAAAATTTCACTAAATTTCTAACGAGATTAAAAATAAAAACGTGAGATAAGAAGGCAAAAGTGTTAAGTTGTAAATTGGCAACCAGCAGCTTAGTGATAATTAGAGAAACTGAAATGAATGATGGGAACGTGAAAGTGGAACTGAAAAAACAATATTTTTTAATTTAATTATTTTAAGCCCATAATCATTGGTACTGAGTTTATGTATAGAAAGTTCTATAAGAGCAATAATCAATTAATTACACCACTAACTAAAGGCCAGTTTCACAAACAGTTGTAATTTAACAATAATCACAAACCATTGGTCAACTTCCAGATTATTCAATGTGATCAACCCGCAACTAGTGAAACTGAGCCTAAGATTGATTTAATTTGAATAATTTTTACAAATTAAATTCCATGTCACGTAAAATAGGTGTATATGCACTTTTAAAATGGAAGAAGTCTTTTTAAGGAATTTCTAGGACAAAATTAGACTCCTGACTTTAATAAATCAATTTTCATTCGTTGTAGTTTGCATCATCCGAAAAAGTCGGCCAGAAGGCTGGGCACCGACCTGCTGCGTATGTTCTTAGAAGAAATCGGCCCCGATGTCGTCGTAGAAGTGGACGGGCACAAGTTGAAGGCCCACAAGTGCATTTTGGCTTCTCGGTGTCAATATTTTGCCGCTTTGTTAAGTGGAAATTGGCTGGAGAAAAATGGGAATGTTATTTCTTTGCAGGTGAGATTATTTGTTCTTCTGACACGCATAATTTGCACAATAATTGGCTATGTGGGAAGCTAATTAACAATAAAGTGAGAATTTTTCTTTTATTCTAGGGATTCTCTTATGAATCGGTCTACTTTTCCTTGTGCCATATTTACAGTGGTGCCGCTCACGTGCCAGATTCCATCAGTTTAGTTGAGCTGGCTTCTTTAGCTGACATGTTGGGACTTGAAGGCTTAAAAGAAGTTGTCGAACACGCCCTCAAGCAACGACACTGTCACAATTTTCATAAACCTTGCGCTGGTAAGGAATAATTTGACAATATTCGTGTTATTTTTGTATTAGACTGAATATGACTTGCCTCTATATTTTGATCATTTTCTCAAAAACCATTTGAGGCTCGAATATGAGATTTTGAGGGAATATTTTTGAGTCTTAGAGGCATAACATACTAAAAATTCAAATCAATTGAATGGAAAATTGTAAAGCTGCAAGATTCTTGAAATTGAACATTTTCTCGTATAAGGCTAAATATGACATGCCTGCATATTTTCACCATTTACTCAAAAACTACTTGAGGCTCAAATATGAGATTTTGAGGAAATATTTTTGAGTTTTAGAGGCAAAACATAATAAAAATTCAAATCAATTAAATGGAAAATTGCAAAGTTACAATATATTCAGGTTGTTGTACCGGAGTTCTGGAAGTCCTGCCCCTTTCGGCCGCCTACGGCCTGGACGATTTGTACCAAAACTGCTTGGAATGGGTCACCGAGCACTTTGTACGGATCTGGCCGAGCCGCGCGTTTGCGACGTTGCCGCGCGAACTACGCGAAAAATGCTACCGGCAACATTGCGTCCACTTATCCCCCGACAAGGTGAAGTTTACACTGTGTTACCAAATCATGTTTTTAATTATGTGTTTTATAGGTTTTGGACACAATAGCTGCCTGTGATAAAGTGCTGGCAACGTTGCCGGCTATGAGGTGGGCGGAGCCTATCAGTCAACTAGTGCTACAATTGGCTGACGCTTGTCATTTGTATCACAGGTATATAGCTTTTTTGACAATGAAAATATTTCTAGAAAATTTTATTCCAGACAACATTTTGCTGCAGTTTTGTCTTCAGCATCGTTTCACTCTTTGGACGCCCATTTGGGTTTTGGTGTCTGCGACGTCGAAGACCAAATGCTAAATGCCGCCAAAAATTTGGGTGTAGATCAGGCTTGTCGTGCTTATTCGCGCTGTTGCAAAATGCTCGACGCCCATTGGTCAAGACCCTTTGCCGATTTATTGAACAAAATCAAAATTCAATTGGAGCAATGTCTGGTCAATCAGGCGGACAGGTTAATAAGGAGTAATGCATGGTTGAGGCTAGATACTGTTTTGAGGTCTCGCATCAAAGAACTTACTCCAACAGCGGCGGAGCCTCAAAGCCGACTCCCTAGGGCAAAGCCTAATAAAACCACAAGAAGCAGCCAACTAATAATGTCTTCATCTGAAGACTCGTCTAGGAATTCAAGTCCTGGAATCAAACATCAGCTACCAGGAGGTAGTCCATCATTAAGACGAAGCTTATTGTTGGCCGCAAAATCGCCTCAGGTACTGCCTAAAGTACCTCCAAGTCCTGGTACTAATCGTAGAAGTACTTTGACTCAGCCTACTGCTGCTAGTCAAGCTCGATCTGTGGCGCCACCTAATAGTGCTGCAAAAAGTCGGAATTTGGTAAATAAAACTGCCCCCAAAAATGTTAGGCCTTCATCTGGAGGTAGTATCAGGTCATCATCTTCAACTTCCAGCGTTATCAGACCAAATTCTTCTCAAGGCTCTAGTGGCCAGAAAACTACTGTTAATAATTCAAAGAAAAGTTCCACAGTGGTCTCCAGGAATCCTAGTCTAGGGAAAAAAGACACTACTACAAGGTAAATTGTTTTCACTAGAATCTGGCCTATAACTGTGACATATTTATTTTAGAAAACCAGATAGTCGTAGCAGTTCTCCATTAAAACCACTAAGCAATAGTTCACCTAGAAAACTGGACAGTCGCGTGATATCGCCAATCAAGGCCAATCACAATATCCGTAGCCCTTCTCCTCTGAAAAGGCCGCCAATGAAAATCGTGCAATCGCCCAAAAAACTAAAAGAAGTACCAAAACCGGTACCGCCAGTACCAGCAATGCAACGATCCAGTACCTTTCTCAAAGAAGAACCTACAGTTTTAGGTAAAGTAATTTAATTTTTTTCATTCACATTCCATTTCCTAGTCGACTAGTAAAAAGATAACATTCCATAAGACTTATTAGTGTTTTTAGGCTTAGATCTGCTATATTTCAAGTTATATGAACACTTAAATCCTAGTCATGTTTATAGGTTTTTTTTTTTTTTGATCTCTCGTTAAGGCCTGGTTTACTAAACTTCAGATAAATTTACTATAGTGAAGGACTTGAATTTATCAGAAGATGTATGAACCGACCCTAAGCGGTATTATTTACTCATTGTAGTATTTATTTAGTTTTGTAATTTTGTGATAATTATTATTGTAGTATTTTTATGACGTTTCACTTCAAAGTTGCTTTAAAAGCTTCAATTGCTACTTATGGAAATTTATTTTGAGTTCCATTTAAAAGAATTATTTGAGAGAGAAAATATAGAATCATAAATTGCATTTTTTATCAATCGGATTACATATCTGACAGTTTATCAGAAGGTGAATAAAATAGCCTTAAGCGTTCTTTTTTTTATAATTATTGTAATTTCAGTTTTATTGATGTTGCTTTGTTAAGGTCGCTTTACATAGACGCGTCTGCTTGTCTGTTGCGCAGACGTATAAGTGTATCTATGGAGGCCTTTATTATTATTATTATTGTACAAAATAGAAATAAATATTTTTTAAAAAAAAAGTGATTTTATTCCCAAATCCTACTAAATGACCATTTTACCTCTTTGTGTTTCTGTTCTCCTGAATTTTCAAAATTTTGCATTTTTCCCAAAATTCCATGTTTTTCAATTTTATAACAGGAGCACAGAAACGTGAAGAGGTATTTTTCCCGAAATTTTCATCTCTTTGCGTTTCTGTGTTCCTAATACAAAATAAAATTTTTAAGAAAATTTTAGATTTTTATTTTGTATTAGGAGAGCAGAAACATGAAGAGGTATTTTTCATCTCTTTAAGTTCCTGTGTTCCTAATACAAAATTTCATTTTTGAGAAAATTTTAAATTTTTATTTTGTATCAGGAGAGCAGAAGTGCGAAGAGGTATTTTTCCATCTCTTCACGTTCCTGTGTTCCTGATACAAAATCGGATTTTTGGGAAAATTTCAAAATTTCCAATTTTGTATCAGGAGAGCAGAAACGTAAAGAGGTATTTTTCCAAAAATTTCCATTTCCTTGTGTTTCTGTGCTCCTAATACAAAATCGATTTTTTTAGGAAAAACGTAGAAATTTTCAATTTTATACCAGGAGCACAGAAATGCAAAGAGGTGAAAATAGTTTTTTAAATAAAACACAAAATATTAATTTTTAATTTTTTTTTATTAATATAAACAATACGAAATGTTAAATTTTCAAGTGCTTTATAAGAAAAGAGGAATTACATATTCCCTTGAAAAATGAACAAGAAAACTTCGAAAATAAGCAAGAAATACATCAAATTAGCCTAATTTTATCAAATGAAAATTAATGCGTGTCTCCATTCTACCACACACACATAGAGATAACATTTATTTTAGCCTACCTATACCTATAATACTAAAATACAATGTATTAATAGAGGAAAAAGAATTACGCTTAATTTCCTGCTCCACTAAACCTGGAAACGCCGCCACTCCTGAAACTACCACCCCCATGGCCACTCGGACCACCCCTACCACGATTATAACCTCCTCTGTCATTACTACCCCCTCCACTACCAAAACTTCTTGGCAATCCATAGCCTGCGGGAGGTCCCCCGCCATTTCTGCCACCACCTCTTCCTCCTGAACCGCCACCCCACCTGTTTCTGCCTCCTTTGTCGTACCCTGACGAAGATCCTCTGCCTACCATATCTGCTAGTTTAGGGTTGACAACCTAGAATTGTACATAGGAAATAATTGTCATCAATTGCAAAAGAACTGAAACTCAGAAGTGATAACAAATGTATTTTTATATCTTTCTTATAGAAGCTAATAGAAAAAAACACCAATACACTCCAATGGAATTTACTATAAGTCAAGTGCACATAAAAGTTAAAGGCAATAAATAACACACGATTTTACATCGACCAATCACAAGTTGTATGTAGAAAATCGCGATTGCCTAAAGCGTTCCCTCCATGTGTGACGGCCTTAAACAAGTTTTAAATTTGAGACACACATGGTTTTGCATAAAGTCCGACAATCACAAGTTAATCATCTCAGATTCTAGAGACATTTTCTCTATTTCTATTGATTTCGAAAAGATAAAAGAAGATAGTAAATGCCATATAGCAATGGAGATAACAATCATTATACAGGGTGGTTGATTTTCGATAGTTTGATAGGGTACAGCCAAAATGGCCGAAGATACTGAGAAACTGATATACGCTTCCCGTCCTCTTTTTTAGTGTGTCATTTGATGGTGTAGTCAGATCTTGGTTTGCGAGGTACAGGGTGTTTTTCAAAATCAGCTGTTTTTTATAATCCGCTATAACTTCTTACCCTACGGAGATATAGAAAAAGTGCAAAAAGGAAAAATACGCCTTTTTTTACGTAAAATCCAGTGGCGTACTTAGAAAAAATATGGGAACTTTATCTTCTGAGATATTCGAAAAAACAAAGATTTTTCAAATGGAACACCCTCTATCTTATTGGTTCAGTATTTTGAGAAAAAAATTGCAAGTTCAACGATAGATAACACATGATATTTTGTTTTAGTCTAAATGGCGAAAGCAACAAAAAACACTTATTTCTACTAGCGTGTGTAAAGTGCTCACTTTATGAACTATTCAGAATACATAAAATTTCACTTCATGCACAAGTGTGTAAAGTAATTCACTTTACACACTAGTACGCGACAATCACATTTTACACACTTGTTGCATAAATAACTATTTCAGGGAAAAATTAGAAACAAAAAAAAAAATCTAGAATTTTCGAATTTTCAAATTTTCAAAGCAAAAAAAAAATCTGGGATTGAATTTTTGGAAACTTAAAAAAAAAAAAAAATCTGGATGTATTTTTGAAAGAAAAATGACAAATTTAAAAAAAAAAAATCTGGATTTTTTTTTTCAAAACATGAAAAATTCTGGAATTTTCTTTTAAAAAATAAAAAAAAATCTTTTCCAAAAAACGTTTGTACCAACATTTTAAAAAAATAACTCAGAAAAAAAAAATCTCAGTCCGAATTTTTTTATGAATTTTTTTTTCGATATGCGGCGTTTGTAGCAACATTTTGAAATTGACGACTCAGAAAAAAAAAATTATGGAAATTTTTCTGAGTTTGAATTTTTTATGATTTTTTTGTATATGCGGCGTTTGTACCAACATTTGAAAAAAATGACTCAGATTTATGTTTTTTCTGAGTCCGATTTTTTTTATGAATTTTTTTTTCAGTATGCGGCGTTTGTAGCAACATTTTGAAATTGATGACTCAGAAAAAAAAATTATGGAATTTTTTTTTTATAAGCGGCATTTGAAAAAAATGACTCAGAAAAAAAAAAATTCTGAGTCAGAATTTTTTTATTAATTTTTTTTTTCGATATGCGACGTTTGTAACATTTTGAAATTGGTGACTCAGAAAAAAAATTATGAAAATTTTTCTGAGTTTGAATTTTTTATGATTTTTTTTAATATGCGGCGTTTATACCAACATTTGAAAAAAATGACTCAGATTTTTTTTTTTCTGAGTCCGAATTTTTCTACATTTTGAAATTGACGACTCAGAAAAAAAATTATGGAAATTTTTCTGGGTTTGAATTTTTTATGATTTTTTTTTTATATGCGGCATTTGATAAAAATGACTCAGAAAAAAAAAATTCTGAGTCCGAATTTTTTTATTAATTTTTTTTTTCGATATGCGACGTTTGTAACAACATTTTGAAATTGGTGACTCAGAAAAAAAATTATGAAAATTTTTCTGAGTTTGAATTTTTTATGATTTTTTTTAATATGCGGCGTTTATACCAACATTTGAAAAAAATGACTCAGATTTTTTTTTTCTGAGTCCGAATTTTTCTATGATTTTTTTTCGATATGCGGCGTTTGTAGCAACATTTTAAAACTGACGACTCAGAAAAAAAAATTATGAAAATTTTTCTGAGTTTGAATTTTTTATGATTTTTTTTTATATGCGGCGTTTGTACCAACATTTGAAAAAAATGACTGAAAAAAAAATAAAAATTCTGAGTCCGAATTTTTTTATGATTTTTTTTTTTTTCGATATGCGGCGTTTGCAGCAACATTTTGAAATTGATGACTCAGAAAAAAAAATTATGAAAATTTTTCTGAGTTTGAATTTTTTTATTATTTTTTTATGTGACGTTTGTACCAACATTTGAAAAAAATGTTTTTCAAATGTTGGTACAAACGCCGCATATAAAAAAAAATCATAAAAATTGAAACTCAGAAAAATTTCCATAATTTATTTCTGAGTTATTAATTTCAAATTGTTGCTACAGACGCCGCATATAAAAAAAATATAAAAAATTCAAACTCAGAAAAATTTTCTTTTTTTTTTCTGAGTCATCAATAAAAAAATTCGGACTTGAAAGTATTTTTTTTTCAGTCATTTTTTTCAAATGTTGGTACAAACGTCACATTATATAAAAAAATAATAAAAAAATTCAAACTCAGAAAAATTTCCATAATTTTTTTTTCTGAGTCATCAATTTCAAAATGTTGCTACAAACGCCGCATATCGAAAAAAAAATTCATAAAAAAATTCGGACTCAGATTTTTTTTTCTCAGTTATTTTTTTAAAATGTTGGTACAAACGCCGCATATAAAAAAAAATCATAAAAAATTCAAACTCAGAAAAATTTCCATAATTTTTTTTTCTGAGTCGTCAGTTTCAAAATGATGCTACAAACGCCGCATATCGAAAAAAAAATCATAGAAAAATTTGGACTCAGAAAAAAAAAATCTGAGTCATTTTTTTCAAATGTTAGTACAAACGCCGCATATAAAAAAAAATCATAAAAAATTCAAACTCAGAAAAATTTTCATAATTTTTTTTCTGAGTCATCAATTTCAAAATGTTGTTACAAACGTCGCATATCGAAAAAAAAAATTAATAAAAAAATTCGGACTCAGAATTCATTTTTTTCAAATGCCGCTTATAAAAAAAAAAACATAAAAAATTCAAACCCAGAAAAATTTCCATAATTTTTTTTCTGAGTCGTCAATTTCAAAATGTTGCTACAAACGTCGCATATCGAAAAAAAAATTCTGAGTCATTTTTTTCAAATGTTAGTACAAACGCCGCATAAAAAAAAAATCATAAAAAATTCAAACTCAGAAAAATTTTCATTTTTTTCATCAATAAAAAAATTCGAACTCAGAAAAAAAAAATTCCAAGTCATTTTTTTTAAATGTTAGTACAAACGCCGCATATAAAAAAAAATCAAAAAAATCCGAAATCATAAAAATTTTCATAATTTTTTTTTCTGAGCCAATAAAAAAAAAATTCGGACTAAGAAAAAAAAAATCTGAGTAATTTTTTTCAAATGTTAGTACAAACGCCGCATATAAAAAAAAATCGAACTCAGAAAAAAAAAAGTTTTCTGAGCCAAATATCGATAGTTTTTAAATACTCAGAAAAATTTCTTATTTTCCAGAATTCCGCAATAGAAAAGTCGTTTTTGTTCGACGTAGATCAAAAAATTTACATTGCAACCGACTCTACTCCGGTCGACATGCAAAGTTACGAGTTGTGCTGCGA